TGAGGTCGTCTGGTCTCATGTCACTGTCTTCCCGTGAGTCTGTTTATGTCTATGAATTGGAAAGCTTTATTCCTGAAGTACGTGTGAGTATACATTTCCCGGTAAAATCTTGATATCGGGTGTTGACATATCATCGGCACGCACGTGTACTATTGTTTACCATGGGCCTGTTCGTTTATGCGGAACAACCGGTTTGACCGTTTATAAATGTAACAATTTCGGGTGTAAATCCTGGCGGACCTGCAAATGTGTATGCAGGCCTTGCAAGGCTTTCTCAAGACTCGCCTGAAAGCAGCATCAGATTACTAGGTCCGACCTTATTTAATAAACGAACAACAGTGGTCCGATCGGTTTGACCGTTTAAACGAAAACGGCCCAGCAGGTGTTACTATAATTTGCACTACGATATTGAATGCCCGATACGCAATACGGAAATGACGACACGGTGTACATGCACATTTCGATTAAGATAATTGAGTCCTAGCTGTACTTTTTCCGGAAGTATGTCACGAAAATGGACGCTGATGACGATGTGTCGAGCCACCTTAATACTTTTTACAGTCATTACCGTCGGTATCGATATATAGAAACCAGTCAACTGAATCAACCAACCTGATACATATAGGGTGCGCAGGTTGTTGTTATACTTGGTCAGTTTGAGTTTCGATACGAATAAGGGATGATATGTACACATTGTGGTTTTCTGTTTGGGCCACGCTTACAACATGTTGAACAATGGTGATCACACTTTATTTAAAATTCAACATCACAAAGGCGTCAATCTTTCGAGGGAGCAATTGCGAGTAAACTTACAAAGTTATTTGAATCAGAACATTTCTTTATATTGACCGACAGTATTACAAAGTAGATCAGAGCATAGACTTACTGTTAGCGGATGATCAAAGGAAATTACCGCTCCTAGAAGCACACAAATGAGCAAGTAAGGTATCGTACAGAAATATATATCAGAATAAATTGATTAATTCTTATACTATACATGATTTTTTTTTGTTTTTCAAATGCTTCCGACAATACCGAAAATAATACTGAATGTGTTCTCCGGCATTCGTTGGCTACCCACAAAATGAAGTCACTACATTGTATCAGAGACGTATATATTACAGAGAATACGTCCCTGATTTTATGAATGAAATGTAATGGTTGCGCGGCGTTAAGCAGACATCGTATACTCGACCTTGTAGAAGTAACTTCTCTGACCCGTCTTATGAGTTCATCACAAGACTTCTTATTTAAGAAAGGACATGAATCACGTATCCGTTAACTTCATGTTTATGGTTAGGGGTCAGTACTACATCAGTCATGGTATGTGCACAGGGGTTCGTTACAAATGTCTGAAATACACATTTGCTATATATACTGATAATTATGGGTCGCAGCACACACAAACATATATGTGTATGTTTATGTGTGCTGTGACCCATAACAGTATAGCATATACCTGTATTTCAGACATTTGTAACCAACCCCTGTACGTGGTATGTGTTTTATAATGCAAGAGGCATAGAGGGCCTGTATCGCTCACCTGAATATTTAAGCAGTCATAGCAAAGTATTCTCATTAAATATTGTATTGCACTCGAATATTTCCCTCACAAACTTTGTCGGCTCCATTGAAACTACCAGTCAAGTATTATTATAAGATTCTATGCTTTTTTATTCTTCTTCAGAAGTTGCTGGACATATTTTGCCCTGTGACCTTGTAAGTAGGTCAATGTCATTTTCCTTCTCAAATTGGTTAGCTCTATTCCAAAAAGCTACCAGCCAAATTTTATGAATCCATTTCTTTTAGTTCCTAAGAACAAATTATTTAAAATGCTGTTGACCTCTGTGACCTCTAAAGTAGGTTGAGGTCATTTTCGTTCCCAAACTTTGTCGGGCTCTATCCCAGGAAGCCATCAATCAAATATAAAGATTATATACCTTTCAGTTCTTCAGAAGAAGTCATTTGAAGCATTTGACATATTTGACCCCTGTGACCTTGAAAGTAGGTCAAACTAATTTTCATTCCCAAACTTTCTTGGGGTCTATCCCAGAAAGCCACCAGCCAAATATGAAGATTCTATACCTTTTAGTTCTTCAAAAGAAGTTGTTTGAAGTTTTTGACATATTTGACCCCTGTGACCTTGAAAGTAGGTCAAGGTCATTTTCGTTCTCAAACTTTGTCAGGCTCCTACCAACAAAGCTTTCAGCCAAATATCATGACTCTAGGCCTGTCCGTTCTTTAGAAGAAGTTGTTTAAAGGAAAAGTTGAAGGATGACGGACTGACGATGGACGCCACACCATGACATAAGCTCACTTGGGCAGGTGAGCTAAAAATCAAAACAAAGTTCCTTACTTAATGATTTTTTACTCTATTTCATTGATTTAGTTGAATAGGATAAGATTTTTTGCTGTGAAAAATGCCGCAAATAAAACATCCCTTATTTGAGCCTCAATTTCCTTAAAATGATTGTAAAACTCACAGAATGGTCTCCAAGAATCCTGGCTTGTATAAAGGCTGAATAGATATCGGTCTTCTGTAGGACATAATACCCCACATCCTCATATCCAGGGATTATGCTCACTTTCGCTCTCTACACCCCTGGAATATGTCATTGCAAAATTGAAGGCACACGCTAACTACTTGATTGGTGTTGGGTAAAACAGCCTATACCCTAGGGTTAGGGTTGGATCCAAATTAGCATACCAATCACTAGGCTGATATTTGTCCTACAGAGGAGCGACGCCCGACTTCAAAGCCAATAAGTTTTACTGTAGCCCGAGTTTCCTCTGGCCCTAACACATGACTTAAGACATTTGACATATAAATGTAGATGTCTGGTGTCAAACGTCTAAGTCTGGTGTTAGCGCCAGAGAAGACTCGGGCTAGTTTTACTGTTACGCGACCGCGAGATTTTTTGATGTAAATGTACATCAAAGGATTAATTAAACTAGTCTTCTCGTCTCATCAACGAGGCGGTTGGTGCACACAGTCTTCCATTTTGCTGTGACAATATTCCAGGGGTGCTGAGAGTGAAAGTGAGCGTAAACCCTGGATAATACCCCACCATTTAATTAAATATAAAATATACTACTATCTTCAATATATCCATAAAGTGATTAAAGGAAAACGCAAGTAATGGTTTTTTTTTCATGATATTTATTAAGAAAATCCAACAGAGAATACAATTATTCTGCTCGTGTTTAATACAAAACATTACTACACACAGTGGACTCAAACAGGACACTAATTACAGAAATATATTGCAAATGATGAAGATGAAATCAATTTCTGAACTTTAAAATCAAAAGAAACACGAGACCCGTATATGTATCATGTTATTTGATAGTACTGTATTCGAAAATATACTTAAAGCTAAAACAGCTTCTGTCAGATCAGGATCTGTTCGAGCAACCTGGAATTCATAAAGTCAGTCATCCTAAAGTTACAGACCGACAATCAATATTTACAGTTTGTAGTTTTTTAGAAGGAGCTGTTTGAAGTTTCAAATACATTTTATCCTGTGACCTTGAATGTGAGTCAAGGTCACTTATAAGGACAGTGTTTTAAACCAGCAAGCTACAGGTCAAGGTAAACAAACAGGTTAACCCTTTACCAAAGGCAAAACCACTACAGGCTTCAGGTCAAATTTTGATATATATGACAAGTATCACTACGCCACACATTGCAGTTCATGAGAAGATGTCATTTGAAATTTCGAACTTTTTCGACCTCTGTGACATTGAAAGGTCAAGGACATTTATTTCAACAAACCAAATTCCCATGACTGTAGTAAGAAAATATACACTTAATATTGTGACCTCTGACTTGATTGTTACATTAAGAACTGCTCAACTGCTGATTGACTGGTGTAAGTATTTCTTAAATCACCTCTAAATATTCTTTTCTTATAAATATTATGCAAATGTAGAAATATTTTTTAACAGGAATTACAAACATTAACAATGAAAACAATAGTATTTAAGTAGGTTGAAATTGAAAGGATGTGAAACATTGCACATGTTAACAATATGACATAGTAATAAAGAATAAAAGATAGCGTACACAGGGATGGTAAAATAAAAGATAGCATTGCAGGGGTGGGAGAGTAAAAGATTAGCATACACAGGGGTGAGAGAGTAAAAGATAACAAACACAGGGGTGGGCGAATATAAGATAAGTAATTGTGATGGGTAAAATCTTTCTTTGAAATTGCTTAAAGCAAATAGTGACAGAATCTACACCCTGACAAAATGCCACGTGAGCCTAAAATATCACAAATTCCTCACAAAGAGATCATATTGTATATCAGCTTATAATATAAAAATAACTTGTCTTTTTTATAATATAATGACAACTGTAAATTACCACAAAGACTTTAAATTAATGTTTATGAATATTTTTCAACAAGTTCAAATTACAAATGGAAGTCTCTTCAACAAGGTAAATCATAGCACTGAATGTAACTGAAAACATACATACTAATGCCGAGATCAAAACATCGCTCTAAAAGATGTACCATGTGGACACATGGAGAAGGATGAAGTACACATGTGTGATGATATACATTAATGTCATATAAATATCTGTCATATAGATATCTACTATCACAGTCTATACACAAGGTAACCAACACAGAGGTACTTGTCTGTACGAGATGTCACCGGGGATTATTGCACAGACACAGTCTGTCATATAAATCATACTTGTTACCAATAATATCACAATAACCTATATTACAATTTTTGTCCAGAAATATATATATATACTGCAATATTAATTTTAAATGGCAATAAATTGCAATGATTTTTAAACCAATTGCTTAGAATCACAATTGTGTAATGATATCCCAGAAATAATGTTAACATATTAGATTGGTATTGTTCAAATTAAGCTTGCTTGGTGCGATAATTTTCAAAACTATATAGATTACTTTTCAACTTCTCATTGAAGCTTGATGAACTGGTGATCACTTTTCATATAATCTTAATAAAATCATTTTATATTGTGATATATTGCCTGAATATTGCTGGCAATATCCACACTTAATACATAATGATAATTTCTGTAAAACATAATGACAATTTCTTAATTAATGCTCCATCTGCTTCCTGAAAATTAGAACCTAACACAATGACAGACAAAACAATGCCGAAACAGTTTAAACTACAATGTCTTAATGAACAGAAGTGATCACTGAACAAGAACCGAGACTGGAGTCCAGGTACAGCTCTGGTATAAAGTCAGGTCAAACAATGTTTTGGTCCCCGGCTTCATGACACCGTAGTATTGCCATACCCCCATCTCAACCCTAGGATGAGACTTATAAAATCTTTCCCCACTTTGTAGGACAGAAAAAATTTCAATCCAAATATTTACCCCGAGCCTTTGTCTAGGGCCAGACATTTTAGAATCTTACTACGAGAGCTGAGATTTTTCAGTCTTACACCTAAAGTGGGGTATGATTATTTTTCTTCCATATCAAATATATATGTGGTAACTTCATGAAATGCAAACGTTGACTGCATAATATCAAGCACATTTGAGTAATCCAACCTTTATCTGCTACTGTTGACGTGACGTCAGTGAATCGTAGACGCGACATCACACAATTGTTATGACAGGAGAATCTTCGTCTTTACCCCAGGATAAGACAGAAATATCTCTCCCTGACAAGAGGTGAGGATATCTGTGTAATAGGAGTGAAAGTGTTTTGTATGGGGCACTGTTTGTGTCACACATAAGTGTTTTGTATGGGGCACTGTTTGTGTCACATGTAAGTGTTTTGTATGGGGTACTGTTTGTGTCACGCGTAAGTGTTTTGTAAGAGGCACTGTTTGTGTCACCAGTAAGTGTTTTGTATGGGGGACTGTTTGTGTCACACGCAAGTGTTTTGTAAGGGGCGCTGTTTGTGTCACATGTAAGCGTTTTGTATGGGGAACTGTTTGTGTCACACGCAAGTGTTTTGTAAGGGGCGCTGTTTGTGTCACATGTAAGTGTTTTGTAATGGCCACTGTTTGTGTCACACGTAAGTGTTTTGTAAGGGGCACTGTTTGTGTCACATGTAAGCGTTTTGTATGGGGCACTGTTTGTGTCACACGTAAGTGTCTTGTATGGGGCACTGTTTGTGTCACACGTAAGTGTTTTGTATGGGGCACTGTTTGTACTTCGAGGTGGGAGAAATAATAATGGTAAAACAATACAGTTCATCAATACTTGAATCACTGTTAACAATCACTAAATAATTCATCACATTTTAATGCTAATTATAAAGAGAAATCTTAGTGTTCTTTCACATACAAAGATCAAAAAAAATATCTCAGCTGGAAAAGAAGCTTTTGGCAAAATAAGAAGATACATTTCCTTCTCAAAACATTAACTTTATAAATATAAAACAGAATTAACAACTTTCCACAAATATAACATGGATCTATTAACAAATATGATCGATAGTCCTCCCAATATCACGTTGTACTGGCTAGTATGTACCTGTAAAGCCACTTGTAATGCTGGAGTAAATTAATCTTTAAGTCATATAAGGATTATTATCAGTAATTCTACCATGTCACCAATGTTACCACGCTTTTCCAAAAGTGAGATGTGTGATTTGTGTGGGAGGGATCAGCTTAAGGGATGCTTCACATATGTATCTAAATGGTTCAACATACAGCTCCCACTGACCAGCTCAAAGTGAGGTTTGCAGATTTTCTGTGATAGTATATTACAAGTTGAAACAGGCTTTCCATTACTCCATTTTCCCATTTTTTACAATTCCATTGCTAGCATGGCCATTTGTCTGCGGTCCTTTTGAAGCCTGTGCCTTGAGCATCTCCTCTAAAAGCCCCTTGCCTTCAAACGCACTGGGATTCCTGAAGGAGCCTCCTATACGGTCCCAGAGGGTGAAGAATTGACCGTAATTGTAGCTGTAGAAGAGATGATGGTCAGTATGATGGGCTGACCCATTGACAACAGGCTTCAATATCTGAGGTACCCTATAGTCACCGTCATGGATTGACACAGTCCAGATGTTGACAAAAACAAAGAGTGCAAGGTAGGTGTACTTGTGGAGGGGGAAGAGGAACACATAGATGTGGTAAGGGCAGCTCTGCAGGAAACCATCCAGGGGGTGGAACGCATGGCTGGCATACGGTGTGGGTACCTTCCAGCGGTGGTGATCCTTGTGTATGTACTTGTAGATGGAGCGATGGTGGAGAAATCGGTGAATCCAGTAGATACACATGTCAGTAAACAGGATGAATGTAGCCACACTGGTCAGAACAAACAACCAACCTATAACACACACCACAGCTTTATAAAAGTATAAATATCTGTTTGATCATGAAATTCTAACACGGCAAGAAGTCAAAGGGGCTTATTGTTATCATCCTTAGCCTTTTGGTTCTTCAGAGGAAGTTGTTAATGTTCTAACAAATTTGACCTGTATGACATTTACTTCACATCAAGGTTTTTTCTTTTGATTATATAAATACTATACTCCTGCTCACTTATCTCTAGTCCAGCTCACTTATATCAAGTCCTGCTCACTTATACCTAATCCTGCTCATTTATATCTAATCCTGCTCACTTATGTCTAATCCTGCCCACTTATATCTAATCCTGCTCACTTATATCTAATCCTGCTCACTTATATCTAGTCCAGCTCACTTATATCTAGTCCTGCTCACTTATATCTAATCCTGCTCACTTATATCTTATCCTGCTCACTTATATCTGATCCTGCTCACTTATCTCTAGTCCAGCTCACTTATCTCTAGTCCAGCTCACTTATAATCTAGTCCTGCTCATTTATATCTAATCCTGCTCACTTATATCTAGTCCTGCTCACTAATCTCTAGTCCAGCTCACTTATATCTAATCCTGCTCACTTATATCTAATCCTGCTACCTTATATCTAATCCTGCTCACTTATCTCTAGTCCAGCTCAATTATCTCTAGTCCTGCTCACTTATATCTAATCCTGCTCACTTATATCTAATCCTGCTCACTTATCTCTAGTCCAGCTCACTTATATCTAATCCTGCTCACTTATGTCAAGTCCTGCTCACTTATGTCAAGTCCTGCTCACTTATGTCAAGTCCTGCTCACTTATATCTAGTCCTGCTCACTTATCTCTAGTCCAGCTCAATTATCTCTAGTCCTGCTCACTTCTGTCAAGTCCTGCTCACTTATATCTCATCCTGCTCACTTATCTCTAGTCCAGCTCACTTATATCTAATCCTGCTCACTTAAATCTAATCCTGCTCACTTATCTCTAGTTCAGCTCAATTATCTCTAGTCCTGCTCACTTCTGTCAAGTCCTGCTCACTTATATCTCATCCTGCTCACTTATCTCTAGTCCAGCTCACTTATATCTAATCCTGCTCACTTCTGTCAAGTCCTGCTCATTTATCTCTAGTCCAGCTCACTTATCTCTTGTCCAGCTCACTTATCTCTAGTCCAGCTCACTTATATCTAATCCTGCTCACTTATGTCAAGTCCTGCTCATTTATCTCTAGTCCAGCTCACTTATCTCTGGTCCAGCTCACTTATATCTAGTCCTGCTCACTTATGTCAAGTCCTGCTCACTTATATCTAATCCTGCTCACTTATGTCAAGTCCTGCTCACTTATGTCAAGTCCTGCTCACTTATGTCAAGTCCTGCTCATTACCAATTATCTGTTCACACTGTCTTTTTTACCTTAAGTGCTACGAGGATGCTAGAACTCTGAGGAAACAAACATTCCCCACATCACAAGAGTGTATGTTTGGTAGGAGTTATAGATACATGTACATAGTTTGGATCTGCTCACGTTATCATTGTATAATTAGCAGACTGTTTGTGGTGTACGACTTACTTAATTTGGATGTGCCTACATCATCATAGAGTTTGCTGTGACCTCTAACCTCCAAAAAGAACAGAAGAACGGTCGGTAGACTCATCAGAGGAACAGATTTGAGCGTGTACAGGATCTCCAGCTTAACCTGGTTCTGTAACCATAAACACACAACATCATTAAAATGGGTCATGGTCAGCCCTGGATCTAAATCATGTGCTGAATTTACAGTGGTGGACATGTCTGTTGTTGCTTATTTTATTTATATATAAGATGAAATGCACTAGTAAACTAGTAAAACAGATGTGAAATTTTCAGAACAAGACAAATAATTGCAAGCAAACCCCCATTACCATACAAACTTTGGTATCTAAAATAAAAGAAGGGACATAACTCGTGTGAAAAGTGTGAAAATATCACTTTTGGAATTAACTTTTCAGAACAGCACTTTCTATTCACTTCATTCAAAGCTTCAGTTTTTCTGTTCAGATACCCGGTAGATGGATACAAATAAAGTTATTGTAAAATATAAGGTTATTTGGTCATCTTTACTACTTACATACAAAGCTAGGTATTAATTTCCATAAACAATCATGCAACCTGTGTAGTGATAGCTATATATAGTTACCAGAGATGAATCATGACTGCACTGTCCTCACCCCACCTCAAATACCCACCTCTTCAATCCAATCTCTACACCTCAAATACCCACCTCTCCAATCCAATCTCTACACCTCAAATACCCACCTCTCCAATCCAATCTCTACACCTCAAATACCCACCTCTCCAATCCAATCTCTACACCTCAAATACCCACCTCTCCAATCCAATCTCTACACCTCAAATACCCACCTCTCCAATCCAATCTCTACACCTCAAATACCCACCTCTCCAATCCAATCTCTACACCTCAAATACCCACCTCTCCAATCCAATCTCTACACCTCAAATACCCACCTCTCCAATCCAATCTCTACACCTCAAATACCCACCTCTCCAATCCAATCTCTACACCTCAAATACCCACCTCTCCAATCCAATCTCTACACCTCAAATACCCACCTCTTCAATCCAATCTCTACACCTCAAATACCCACCTCTTCAATCCAATCTCTACACCTCAAATACCCACCTCTTCAATCCAATCTCTACACCTCAAATACCCACCTCTTCAATCCAATCTCTACACCTCAAATACCCACCTCTTCAATCCAATCTCTACACCTCAAATACCCACCTCTTCAATCCAATCTCTACACCTCAAATACCCACCTCTTCAATCCAATCTCTACACCTCAAATACCCACCTCTTCAATCCAATCTCTACACCTCAAATACCCACCTCTTCAATCCAATCTCTACACCTCAAATACCCACCTCTTCAATCCAATCTCTATACCTCAAATACCCACCTCTTCAATCCAATCTCTACACCTCAAATACCCACCTCTTCAATCCAATCTCTATACCTCAAATACCCACCTCTCCAATCCAATCTCTACACCTCAAATACCCACCTCTTCAATCCAATCTCTATACCTCAAATACCCACCTCTTCAATCCAATCTCTACACCTCAAATACCCACCTCTTCAATCCAATCTCTATACCTCAAATACCCACCTCTCCAATCCAATCTCTACACCTCAAATACCCACCTCTTCAATCCAATCTCTACACTTCAAAATATACTGACCCCTTCAATCCAATCACCACCCATTTGTCCCGCTCAAATATCGACATTCTTTCCCTATTTCTCACACTCACCTCCAGGAACTGTTGATGGTCCATCAGACGTTTGTCAAATATAAAGAGATAGCTGATAGTGGCTGTGCTGAGGTACAGCAGGTATCCTCCAATGTTTGTCACCAGGAGTAGGCTGATCACCTGTCGTATTGGGTCATCCTCGGGCCACGTGTCCGGGTAAACGTAAGGTGTAAGTACACTCTTGTCAGCGTAACGTAGCACAACATCCATCCCCTCACCACTTGCTGGTAGCTATTGATCTGCCAAAAAAATGTCATTTAATCTCATCAAACATAGCACAGAAGATGAACTGTCCATATCATCAGATTCTACGAAAAGATATGTTTTGGATACCCAGTGAATGTTAAATATACCAGGTATGATATCCCCACAGGTAATAGGAAGGCTTGACACCAACCAATCACTTCCTTGAGCTCCTTTAAATTTACTCAAATGTTGGAAGTCAAAATGTTTTAAGTATCACATGATAGCCCATACCGAAAAAAGTTACAAAAAAGTTATTTCTTTTTAAGTACAAAAGAAGTTATAACTTTTGATGCTAGATTGGAACCTTGTGAGAAGAGAGTTTCAATCTAGTACTAAAAAGTTACAAAAAGGTATTAAAAAGTTACACTCAAACACTTTGTTCAGTTCAATCATTACTTTATTGGAAAACAAAAAGGTACACAAAAGTTACATTTAGCCAGTAAAGCAGCACTTGTGAAAAAGGTACAATAAAGTTATAACTTTAATTAGGTACTTAAAATGTACAGCTGATAGCTAGGGTACTGGTTTGTTTGTTATATATGATTGGTTGTCCCCAGTCGGATATTCTCTAGTAATATAGTTACATTTTGTCGTTGAGTTAGCAGGTGACCAGGTAACATTACCATTCAATTGTATAGCTTTTCAATGAAATAAGTTCACTGAACTTTATCGATAAATCAGAATTGACCAGTCTCTTTACCGATCGATTAGCCAATTCAGTCTGTGACCACTATCAGTTCAATTATTGATTTTGTTTACAGAGCATCAGATATTTAACTGCTTGAGCTTGACACAAAACATTCATACAATAAATATGCTACACTTGTATGTAACAATTACTGTATAGTATTATATAATACATAGTGTTTGAGATCCAATTTCTGTGCTCTAATCTTTTGTCCATTAACTGACATTAACTGTGCACTTATCACAAGCTTGTTGCCATCATCTGTGCTGTACTTGCAAATAGACGAGGGACACCAAAACTGGGTACGGATTGGCATACAGCTGTAGTTCAAAGACAATGACAGGAATGACAGTTGACATTTTGTTTTGAAGAAGGGATTTCAGACTGTCGATGGTCCAGATAAAATTAATACATACATGTACTAAACACTGATCACAGTTGACGATAAACAATTGTACGCCTGGTACATTGCTGTTAATGTTTGCTCTAATTCATTTATCTATTCGACTTTTCTGTTAAGGCTTCGAAATTGGTAATTCCGAATTGTTTGCCCAGTGACTTGACAATATAATTATATATATATGTATCCACTGGCACTGACGTACATATAAACCATTAGATAATAATTGTGCTGTCGCGCAGGCTCTGGGTACACGATCATCATATGATGTGTATGTATATTATATAGTATATACACATCCTATCATATAAGTGTGTCAAACACCTGTGCGCTAAGATCAGCTGTCACTATCTGATCACAGGCCGGTTACGGTACCACGTGATTACACTGGACAGGTCACCATAACAATGTAAACAATCAGTGTCATTTCAACTAGAACAGTTCAGTTTCTCTGACATCATCTTCATCAGTATAAAATACACCAGTGTTGTGTGTGTAAGGTCTATATAAATGACGATCAACATAAAACCAAACTCACCCTCTAGATCTGTATCCACCAAAAAAAAATCCAGTGTCCGATGTTATTCCGAATGTTTCTCTATACCGTTCGATAGTAAAGCTAGAGATTTCCGAGAATTCCGATTTTGAGGTTCCAGAAGGGAGATTTCTTCAATCATATTGTTAGCAAAGTTGAATCGTGTGTCACTGTGTGCTCCGCTTATTTCTGTCATTTTCAAGGGTTAATTTGAATTGCCTCTAGGGATTAGACTGGTCCCGTACTCTAGAACATTGAATTATTTAGAAAAAAACTCCACTCATTTTGATCACTTATATTAATTGAGCCTTATATATCAGAGCTAAAAGCTAGCCTATCTAAATAAACCTTTAACATTCTGATAAATTTGTGCCTAACTCCCATTGTATAGAAATTACATTAAAATCTGTTTAAACTAATATAAACAGGTAAGTGGACTTAAATAGATAATCTAATTCCGTGTCATCATGAAATCCACAAGACATCCTTTTCATAAAGAAAATGTTTCTAAATAATCTTTGTATTAGAAAGCACGGAATTATAGGTTCGACTGTGAGCTGATTTGGCCATTCGTTTATAATTAAGTACATCAGCGGAGCATGGTTGTCCCTCCCTTATACTTTTGAAATAACGAGTGTCTTTCTAGTTATAACAATTCTTCATAAATATGAGTTCGTTGAAAAAATGCGATTGTCACAAAACATAGTTCTAGTATATAGTAACAAGAAGCAAATCTCGTATAAAAATGAAGATGCATGCGACATTTAAAAAAAATTGAATGGTACCAGCTATCACAATAGATCTATCCTTATATATTACTTCTGGGCCAGGCTATAGATGCTTGGTTTTACATGAATTTTGATGTAAACTTATATAAAACAATTTACCATATGCAATGCAATCACACTGAACTAGTTTCATGTGTTTGCTGTCGCCAAAGTTTGAAGAGGCAGACCCCCAAAAAATATATGTGTGAAAATGATTACAGCCAAATATGAGGCTGATTTGTGCCATTTCGTTATTTCGTCTTTTTGTCCCGAAAATAAAACCAAGAATAAGTATGATTAAGCCTCGTTCGTTTGTCATGATAAGACAAAGACGACGTATAAGATACAAAACGACGAGAAACAACGTTTGTTTAATTCGAGGCGAACTAAACGGCGATTGGGCGAGGCTTCTACCCCGTAAAAATCAATGTATAATATCGCTAATTAGCGTGCATTTTTTTTCTTTTCGTATATGACAGGTCTTTTCGGGGCGCGATGGTGTGTATGAGAGTGCACAAGAAATATTCCGTTAGTGCGAATGATTGTGTGCTGTGACAAGTGTAATTGTGCATGTTGAAGATGTATGTGCTTAAATGTTTTAAATATGTTGTTTGTCAAATACAAATCATGGTCTGAATGTTGTATTATTGAACCTCTTTGTTATATATGAAATACTTTCATACGTCTGTTTAAAGTTCACCAATGTGTAAATATATGACCTTACCCTCTATCCCAGGGACTGTTCACGGTGTCCAATGTATTCTGAGGATGCCCATTACTTAATGTGCTTTTTGGTATTTTGTACGAGAAAATGGGTAATTCTCTGGAAACATATAGGGTATCCATGGTAGTAACTGCTCGTTCATTACTTCCTCCAAAGTTCAATAATTTTTCGTTTCTTGACACTATAAGTGACTTTGATATCCTGTGATTCACAGAGACACACCTATATATAGATGACTCTTGAAGATGAACCTCTAACTATTCCCGGTTACTCTTTATTGATGCGTAAAGATAGAAATGCGCATGGGGAGGGATAACTATTTACTTCTCTGATACTATCAGAGCCATACGCAAACGTGAGTTTGAACCAGCTTCTCTCGAATGTATTTGGGCGGAAGTAAAGTGTCACAACAGACGAATTATGATAGGTTTATTTTATAGACCTCCAAACTCTAGTAATACATTTTATGAAAATTTTGAATGGTCGATTGAAACTGTATGCGATTATTGTTCTGATGTAGTTATTCTTGGTGATTTTAATGTCGATTTGCAAACGTTGTAATAGCAAATTAGAGGTCTTAACATCTAACTATAACCTATATAACACTATAACAGAGGCTACTCGTGTAACTGCCGATACAGCTACACTTCTTGACCCCATATTTATTACAACCAACATAAAGTGTTTGGATAGCGGAATGTTTGACGTAGATCTTTTATGAATTTATCTTTTTCTTATTGTTGCAAGACATCTTATGAAAGACTTATTTGGAACTACAATAGAGCTGACAATTTAAAATTTAATAATTTGATAATGGCAGTAAACTGGCAAGACCTGATTTGTAATGCCCCTTCTATTGACTGTGCAGTAGAAAACTTTACAGCAAAATACCTTGAACTAGCTAGTAAATGTATCCCAAATTCTAAAATAATTGTTCGCCTCTCAGATAAACCTTGGTTTGATACTGTCTTATCGAAACACTATCGTATACGTGAAGTACAAAGCATTAAGTTCAAAGCGCCCGGATGATTGGTCAAAATATAAGAGCATAAGAAATAAAGTTAATAATATGAAAAAGAAAGCTAAGGCTGACTTTTTCAGTAATCTCTTCACCTGCCAGATATATTCCTCCTCTGGATTACTCAATTAATGGCTGTTCAAAAGTGGCATACTGTGATAAGAAAAAGTCGAAGTTCTAAATAATTATTTCGTTCCAATTTCATGTACTGACGAATCCAATGTCACTCTACTTGATTTTCATAGAAAATGTCAAAACTCTCTCACTGATATTGTTATACATGCAAATGAAGTTTTTGATATTTTATCTATTCTAGATATTAGAAAGGCAGTTGGCCCTGATAAGATCAGCCACCGTATGCTGAAGGCTACAGCCAGAACAATTTCACAGCCTCTCACTATGTTGTGTAATCGATCTATTAGAGAAGCTGTTTTCCCTTCTGAATGGAAAAAAACCCTCATGTCTTGCCGTTATTCAAAAAAGGAGATGCACAACTTCCTTCCAACTATCGACCTATTTCTTTACTTAGCTGTCTGTCAAAAATGTGGAAAGGTGTGTTTTTAAGTATATTTTTAACTTTGCAAGAGAGAATGATTTTTTATAAATACCATTCTGGGTTTCTTCCCGTTCATTCCACCGTTTACCATTTAATAGAACTGTACTATACATTACATTGTCACTGCTGTTGATAGAAACGGATATTCTTGTATTGTATTCTGTGACTTGTCAAAGGCATTTGACAAAGTCTGGCATAGAGGTCTACTCTTTAAACTTCGTCAGTATGGCATAGGGGGTGAACTGCTATCTTGGGTGTCAAATTATTTAAGCAACAGACAAGAATCTGTTATATATGGCAATGGCGTCTCATCATTAAAACCAGTTACAGCAAGGGTTCCTCAGGGTTCTGTACTTGGGCTCGTGTTATTTCTCTTCTATATAAATGATCTCGCTGATCCCATGGAAACTTTTGTCAGACTTTTAGCGGACGATTCATCTCTTCAGAAATCTTATTCCGATCTTTATGAAATTGAACAAGCATTGAATCATGATTTACTATGTCTTCAGAACTGGTCCGTCTAATGGCTTATGAAATTTAATCCTGCAAATACTGAAGCGATCCTTTTCTCTCTTCTAGAAATGTCCCTAATAAACCAAACTTCGTATGCAACGATGAATCGATCGAGTTCACTGACTTGCATCGTCATTCAAATTGACTGACCACGTAAACCAATTAATAAAATCTTCTACTCAAAAAGTTACAGATTTAAAAAAAGATGAAATACAAAGTAAGTAATTTTACTCTTAATACTCTATATATATCATTTAATCGACCTGTGCAAGAATACGCTTCTTAAATGCGTTTGGGACGGCTGCTCCGAGCATTTGTCCGACTCCCTGGAAAACGTACAATTGGAGGAATCTAGGGTCATCTCCGGTCTTACGACCATTGCTTCACGCGAGGCATTATATTTAGAAACTGGCTGGAAATCACTTAAACAGAAATGAGAAGATCGGAAGCTATGTACTGTTTATAATATTCACAATAAACGGCCCCAGCTTACATATAACACCTAATCCCAACAAGCAGACGTGATTTAAACGGGGAGTTAAGAAACCCAGACATTTATTTAGCACCCCGTTGTCGTCTTGTCATTACAAAAAAATATTTTGTTCCGTCGTCTATACATTAATGGAATAATTTAAATAATGACATAAAATCCGGTGTTTCTCTTCAGACTTTTAAGAGTAAAATTTCCGTGTACCTCCATCTGTGCCTGATTATCTGCATACTGGAAATCGCTATCATTCTGTTCTACATGGCCGTATATAAGGCATCGTTGTAGTGGTTTACGGTCAGATTTATTTAGAGTAGAAATTTGTCGGTCCTCAAATTGTTTGTGCGATGACGGTGTGGAAGTTCAAATTTTGTTTTTCAAAGACGTTTCTTATTTGATACCTTAAGCGATTAAAATGTAGATTTTAATCTAGAAATTATTTTGTGGGGAAATAGTGACACTAACTCCTACGAAACAAACATCAATATAGTTAAATCGGTACAGACGTTTTTGAATACAACAAAGCGTTTTGATACTACCTGAACGAACATTTTACAATTGGCACCGAATCTGCTCCCTCCCGATTTCCTTTCCCGTTTTTCATCTACTTTCTCTTCCAATCCCCCTATACTTTTTGTGGTAAAGTTGATTTAGACACAAAATATATATTACTATTTTTGTAAATTTATCTCTGTGTACATAGTACGACACGTGATGTAAATGAAATTCATATGCTGTATTCGTGGAGAAGAGCTTGTAAGTTGTTACTGTACAAAACCGCATCAAACTGTACAGAACCGCATCAAACTGTACAAAACCACGCCAAACTGTACAGAACCACGCCAAACTGTACAGAACCACACCAATCTGTACAGAACCACACCAATCTGTACAGAACCACACCAAACTGTACAGAACCATACCAAACTGTACAGAACCGCATCAAACTGGACAGAACCGCAACAAACTGTACAAAACCACGCCAAACTGTACAGAGCCACGCCAAACTGTACAGAACCACACCAATATGTACAGAACCGCAACAAACTGGACAGAACCACAACAAACTGTAGAAAACCACGCCAAACTGTGCAGAACCGCAACAAACTGTACAGAACCACGCCAAACTGTACAGAACCACTCCAATATGTACAGAACCGCAACAAACTGTACAGAACCACACCAAACTGTACAAAACCACACCAAACTGTAGAGAATCACGCCAAACTGTACAGAACCACGCCAAACTGTACGGAACCACACCAATATGTACAGAACCACGCCAAACTGTACAGAACCACTCCAATATGTACAGAACCGCAACAAACTGTACAGAACCGCACCAAACTGTACAAAACCACGCCAAACTGTACAGAACTGCAACAAACTGTACAGAACCACGCCAAACTGTACAAAACGACACCAAACTGTAGAGAACCACGCCAAACTGTAAAGAACCACGCCAAACTGTACAGAACCACACCAATATGTACAGAACCGCAACAAACTGTACAGAACCACGCCAAACTGTACACAACCACACCAAACTGTAGAGAACCACACCAAACTGTACAGAACCACACCAATCTGTACAGAACCACACCAATCTGTACAGAACCACACCAATCTGTACAGAACCACGCCAAACAGTACAGAACCATACCAAACTGTACAGAACCGCATCAAACTGTACAAAAACACGCCAAACTGTACAGAACCACGCCAAACTGTACAGAACCGCATCAAACTGTACAAAACCACGCCAAACTGTACAGAACCACGCCAAACTGTACAGAACCACACCAGTATGTACAGAACCACGCCAAACTGTACAGAACCACAACAAACTGTAGAAAACCACGCCAAACTGTACAGAACCGCAACAAACTGTACAGAACAGCACCAATCTAGGAACAAAGATATTTTTATGGCGTTCCATGACTTAATTACAGCTCATGGTCTCTTGTTATAGATATTTCAGGCCCTATCTATCTGACGTGGTTCCCACGTTTGGCTCCGAGTACGACTCTGCGACATCTATCCTCTAACCACCACACCGTCAAGTTGGTGGGTCCATAGTAGTGATCGATATCGGTCACTGTATGGTTCCATTCTCTGTCTTCTCTGCCGTGCCAAAGTCATTAAGAAGCAGTATCTGCCTGTTTGCCGAGACTGCCTACTACCACTCCTTTTTGGTTTCTCGGGTACAAATGCTCTTGAAAAGTCTCCATACAGTCCGTCTATGCTGGGAATTCCCGACATCCAACTTCTACAGGGAACAGAGATGCTTTCCAGCCCCGTTGTCTGCACATCTCAAACAGTCCTTGGGCCCACTTGTATAAAACATCACAAAGTTAAGGAAAACCTCAAGCAGTGTATTGTCTATGGGAAATCTTAGACTTGAGGAAATCTCAAGAGTTGAGATGTTTTATACACGTGGGCCAGGTACTTAGATCTCTTCTTGTGCGCTGACGTTCTTCCTCACAGCCTTTCCCCCAAGGAACGGTCAGCTCTATAAGAACGATGGACTTCTGCTGGGTTGACCACAGTACTGCCTCAGACTTAAGGGTAGTCTGGACGATTGATCAGAAAACCATTATTTTCTCCAGGTCGTGTTGCACTTCTGCTAATACTTCATCTAAGAGGCCAGTTAATTGTCTGTGTTGTGGTTGGCCTCGTTTTTCCCCGCCGGGACGAACGGAATAAACTACTTCCTTGATTTCGGTCTGTGCCGTTTTCTCTCCTTCTCTGACGTATCTGCTATATAGTTGTCGTATTGCCACTGATATCTACCTCGTTGTAAAGCAGCTTTATTCCATTCTCTATATTTCCTGACATGTCAACCGGCTCTCTGACACGTGGCATCGCGTGTCCATGTTCCCCTTTTGGCCCGATGATACGCTCAGACTCCCGTGTTTACTCCTCCTCTGACCCCTCCTTACACAAAGTCGCTCGTCTCTTTGGTTCCTGCTTTACTCCACTCCGTGAATTTAGCGCTGTTGCATAACTCTTGTTTGCTGCTGTATACATTGCCAATGACGTCACATGTCTTCTGCTCCCTTGATGGCGTTACTGGCTGACCATTTCTCGTAACCACCGCTGCTCTTCGTACTTTCTCATCCTGGGAATCTCTCACGGTCATCACAATTCAGCTCCTCGCCACTTTCAACTCCTCAAGCAGTGATAATAAGGACAACTGAAGCTCTGATTTGCGACTGTATAAACGAATGGACGCTACCCCCTTAGTGGCGCCAGACTAACTTTAAGGATGTTCTTTGATTCTTCGCTCCATCTTTTAAACCGTTGTCATTGGAAACTCGTATAGCATAACTGGCAACATTACCCTGTGTAGAAGACTTGCTGGTAGATCTATGTCTTCAACTTTACATGGAATCCAGTCTTGTCCAATCTATTTACCCATTCTGTCAACCCAGCTCAACATTCTTTTTGTTGTCAGCGTCTCCAGACGGTTTGTAATATCTCGAGGCTTTTTACTGGATTGTCTACAGTTGATGGTATTTCTTCTCCTTGGACTTTCAGCTTAAAACTAGGATGTTACCCTTCCCTTCTTGATGACCGTACATCTGGATATCGTATGTTTGAACCTCATCTGCGCCTATGAAACTGCCTTTATTCACGCAAGGTAGGTCGTCCACGGACCCTCGGTTGGCTGGTACATGTGTTAGGTCGCCCACGGACCCTCGGTTGGCTGGTACATGTATATCCGACTGGACTCCTCTTGTTTCCCTTTCTTACTATTCCAGCCATTCTAGTTGTCACTTGATCAAAGCTGAATCTCAACTTAAGCCCCTGAAGGCAATTATCTTGCCGATCTTATCTGGGACATGGGTGTGGGGAGTTTACTTATACATAAAAGTAGGAGGAGAGATAAGTTTACACTGTATTTGGGTCATGTTAAGTATGTTTTGCTTTTATATTTTTGGTTATTTTTATTGTTTTTGCATCCGCTGAAATAATTATCCCAACACTGGAGTCGGAGGTGTGATTTATATGTTGATCATTTGTTCAAATCCCTACAGTACGAGAGATGGATATAGATAGTAATACCTTACATGAGGTCAAGGAATTTCGAACCTGGACCGTCCGTGTTTTTGTTTTCTTAAATCGACTTTGTCCATTTTCCCGGTGTCCCATGAAGTTGGGCAAAACTGTACCTGATAACAATGCTGGACAGGCGATGGCTGTGATGCTTTTTCTCATTTCTCATGATATTTTGCAAACATGATAGACCTGGATTTGATCCGTCACTTTGGCAAAGCTTGACAAACCTACTGGGGTCATAAAGGCACTTTCGAGTGGGATACAATTATTAGGGTTGAGGTAAAAACGAGGGTTGGTCAGGGAACCTGAACCAGTTTTTAGCCTAACCATACATGGTACAAAAGACCCACTCTATAAGCTGATCAAATCCTTGCATTTGGTTAACTAGTCCTAGAGGAAGATATTTCCATTGTATTGTGTTAGCCAGTTCTAATAGATAAGTCCATTGTATTGTGTTAGCCAGTTCTAATAGATAAGTCCATTGTATTGTGTTAGCCAGTTCTAGTAATAGATAAGTCCCTTGTATTGTGTTAGCCAGTTCTAGTAATAGATAAGTCCCTTGTATTGTGTTAGCCAGTTCTAGTAATAGATAAGTCCCTTGTATTGTGTTAGCCAGTTCTAGTAATAGATAATTCCATTGTATTTTGTTAGCCAGTTCTAGTAATAGATAGGTCCCTTGTATTGTGTTAGCCAGTTCTAGTAATAGATAAGTCCCTTGTATTGTGTTAGCCAGTTCTAGTAATAGATAAGTCCCTTGTATTGTGTTAGCCAGTTCTAGTAATAGATAAGTCCATTGTATTTTGTTAGACAGTTCTAGTAATAGATAAGTCCATTGTATTTTGTTAGACAGTTCTAGTGTAAGATAAGTATCACTGATTCTGAGTGGCTAAGATATTGTCTATATTTTCTGAACCTCGTGCGCCTCTCACCACCCCGTTGGTTATCATCAATGTAAGAATTAAGGTTCCAGGTGAAAAGATAGTCTTAGTAGAGCCAGCAAGCGAACTCCCCCAACGACCTTCAACTTCTCAGTCCTAACATGACTGTGATGGATTTGGAGAAACGCTACACCATGGTCCAGTAACGATCTGTCTGCTGATGGATTTCATTAGAATTAGAGTGTTTCTACCAGATGACAAAAATGTTTGTTCATTCACATAAAAAACAATGATGTACATGTTAAGGTGATGTTAACTTTATTTCATTAAAGCTGTTATGTGAAACCTTCACATTTTCTTACATTAAATATCCCTTATTTTTTAATATGATTTTCATTTACGTAGCGTTACTGCTGTAACCCAAGAGGCCTACAGGGATTACCACTCACCTATCTAAGCAATCATGACGAAAGATTCTCATTTAAAGTAAAAAGACCAATATTTCCGAATTTTAGTCTCTGTCTTTCTGGTCCCAAGGCCTAGGGTGCTTCATAGGGATAGAGCCAGATCCAGGGCTATTCCTTGCAGCATGGCTGTGTAGATTTATTAGCATGTCTCAAACAATTCCAAGGTGTAACATAAGGGCTAATAAAAACGTTTGAACTCCTGGTCTACATATTACCCTGCCTCAAACCCTCGTGATGTTAGGTAATGCTGTATAAAGGATTAACATATCTATCCCCTGTGACATTGAAATTAGGCCAAGGTCATTTATATAAGGAAGTTTAAAACATTCAAACAAATGTACCTACTGGCCAAGTATCAGGATCCCTGCGCTTATGAAGCTTAAGATTCAATTGTTTTATCTATTATAGCCTATGTTAACTTTGACCCAGCCAGCCCTCAAACTTAGCATAAATATTTATCAGAAAAAAATAAGCTGGTCTATATAACATACCAAAGTATAATGCCACTAACCCTTTGTTATAAGTTGATCTGTTGCTCAATAATTGCTGTTTTCAACATAAAATAAGATCTTCATTTTAAACTACGATAAAAAGTCTCAAAGGTTACATATGATGTTCATTGATAAGAAATGTAAAACACAGTACTTTGTATTTGCTATTACCGGGTAGATTTCTGTCACTGTATCATTGTCTACATTACAAGTCCTTGTGAGTTAAACCTTTTTAAAAGCCTTTGTGACTTACAGTGCTAAAATATAATTGATAAACCAGTAAAACTAATGAGAAACTGGAGTTTGATGCCAGCACCAATCTACATCTACCAGAAAGTTGATAAAGCAAAATAAATATTCATAAACATGTATGCACATAATTAACATTATACTCATCATCTTTATCATACGACAAAGTAACAATCTCTCTCACACCGGTCACACTGAGTCACATTCAACATCTACTGTTAAAACTTTCACAATCATAGAATTCTCACAGAAGTTGTTTTCACAAAACCTACTGTACACTTTATATTACACTAATAACTTATAGGTACTAGGTACTACATGTAGACATTCTCTGGTAATACGTGTAGACAGGGAGACAGTCTCTGGTACTACACATAGACAGGGAGACAGTCTCTGGTACTACACATAGACAGGGAGACATTCTCTGGTACTACACATAGACAGGGAGACATTCTCTGGTACTACACATAGACAGGGAGACATTCTCTGGTACTAAACATAGACAGGGAGACAGTCTCTGGTATTACTGGTACATGTAGACATTCTCTGGTATTACATGGAGACAGGGTGACATTGACTTACAGATGTTATGTAAGTGGTGAATATAGGGTAAATGTTTTGAAATATAGAGGAGGCATTCTACAGAAAGTCTGGTCAGACTTGAACCTCAGCACTGATGCAACCGGTATTCCTAATGCTAAGTATAAGCTTGTTGATATAAGAATTTTACAGGTGAGAAGCCCCATCTAATACCATGTTGGGAGAATACCTAGTATTAAGTCTCGCTAAAACATTGTTAGACTCAACATTCATCAAGTAAATTATCACATCTGATTGTTCCAGTAAGATTTCATGGTTAGATGGTTTGGTTTAATTTGTTTAACGTTCTATCAACAGCTGAGGTCATTTAAGGACATCAGCTCCATGGTTGTTGTGTATGCATGCTAGCGTGTTTGTGTAGGAGGCAGGGTATGTTGGTGTATTAGAAAAGACAACGATTTCTCAGTGAATGAGTTGGTAACCATAATCATTACATACCTGATCAGTCTGATCTTACCATAGCGAAACAAGATTTTGTATAACTCCAGTGGTTAGAACTCCTTTTGGCTGGAACACATTTGTTATTATCCACTGACCAAATTGAAAAATTGAAACAATAACTGGTTCTGAACATTTTCCCAAAACTTTTAATCTGTTGTAACATGATGTCGTAAAGTCATCCTTGATGTCATTTTTGTTTGTCATTGTTGTTTGGTTAAAGTTTAGGGGAAGAACAGGATTTGATTAGAACTTCAAAAAAATCCTACACATGTAAGAACACTTGAAGGTTTGTAATAAAATCATTTGTGGTGATCTGACATCACAGATTGTACTCGTTTATCGCACAAATGGATATATTTCACTCGAGTTATAGCCTTAGTGACATGTATCCATGTGTGATGTACTTGTACGATACTTTTCACTAATGAGAGTGAGATCAATTCTAATTAACCACAATGGAGTATAAAGTGATTATTTAAAAGTTTGATAAAAGACTTCATATATTTACAACTAACAGTTTTCAAATTACAAGTGTAAAATATTCTGAAAAAAAAACGTTGAAATTTTCCCACAAAAACAAACTATGCTGTCGTAGTTAGTTCCATATTCAATCTTATTTCAGAGAGAGCACACAACCATTTGTTAAAACCGGCAACATAAACTAGCACACAACTCGACTGACAATCAGCGCAGATTCAATCTTATTTCAGAGAGAGCACACAACTCGACTGACAATCAGCGCAGATTCAATCTTATTCTGTTTTTAACATATCTTTTTATTGGACAAAGTGAAAAATTTGTGGCAATCGAATAATTTATGTAGCAGAAATAATAGCTTTTTTGTCAATAGAATCATGACCCTGACCCGTCTGCTTCATGGAAACCTACAGTACTGAGATATATGACAGCAGTATACTGAGAGATATGACAACAGTATACGGTGAGATATGACAGCAGTATACCGTCAGATATGACAGCAGTATACTGTCAGATATGACAGCAGTATACTGGGAGATATGACAGCAGTATACTTAGAGATATGACAGCAGTATACTAAGAGATATGACAGCAGTATACTTAGAGATATGACAGCAGTATACTTAGAGATATGACAGCAGTATACTAAGAGATATGACAGCAGTATACTTAGAGATATGACAGCAGTATACTTAGAGATATGACAGCAGTATACTGTCAGATATGACAGCAGTATACTGTGGGATATGACAGCAGTATACTGTGGGATATGACAGCAGTATACTGTGGGATATGACAGCAGTATACTGTCAGATATGACAGCAGTATACTGAGGGATATGACAACAGAATACTGAGATATATGACAGCAGTATACTAAGAGATATGACAGCAGTATACTTAGAGATATGACAGCAGTATACTAAGAGATATGACAGCAGTATACTTAGAGATATGACAGCAGTATACTTAGAGATATGACAGCAGTATACTGATAGATATGACAACAGTATACTGCTGTCATATATCTCAATATACTGTTGTCATATCTCACAGCATACTGCTGTCATATCTCTCAGTATACTTCTGTCATATCTCACAGTATACCGCTGTCATATCTCACAGTATATGACAACAGTATACTGAGAGATATGACAGCAGTATACTGTGAGATATGTCAGCAGTATACTGTGAGATATGATAGCAGTATACTGTGAGATATGACAACAGTATACTGAGATATATGACAGCAGTATACTGAGAGATATGATAACAGTATACTGAGAGATATGACAGCAGTATACTGAGAGATATGACAGCAGTATACTGAGAGATATGACAGCAGTATACTGTGAGATATGACAGCAGTGCTGCAACTCTTAAAACTGTTGGCAGTGTGGAAATGTTCATGTTGGCACCGGTCCTGAGATCTATATACTCTATATATCTACATTGGATGTGAATATTTTTGTGCGAATTTACTCAAAGCTAAAAAGGTAGCTATTCCCATAAAACAAAAATTTCCACTTCTGCAATATTTGAACTTTGTTATTTTGGACATTTGTCTTCATTATTGATCCACTTCGTGTGTAATGATCAATTTCCTTAGTTGTGTGAGAGTGTCAAGAGAAGTTGGTGAAATCTTGTCCAAAACTATGAATACAAATGCACCAGTGTCAACATTAGTGTGTTAAATCTGTCGCCGAGGTTCTCACACATCCCCACCAACCCTTACATAATGCTGAGTAGTGTTTGTTAGCTTGTGTCGCCCATTAAGTCGTTAGAGTCCGAGTTCTGACGTTTAAGTTTGTGACAGTTCCAGCGCCGACAGTTCCAATGGATCACCATTACAATAAGTGGAATAAGGCAGGCACAGCAGATACCGGCCATGACATAGGCCACCAGGGTGAGGGTCGCCGCCTCGGCATCCGGCTTAAAGTAGGCACAGTCTGTAGCGTTACCTAGCAACACCAAACATATTTACAAGGTTATAACTGATATTACAGTAAAATCTGCTGGATTTAAAACCAACTTGACAAAGCAGTTCACTACATATTAATATTGTTTTAGGAGACATCTCTGCCTCCCATCCTTCACAGGTGTGTCTCCCGTTTTAGCCGGGAAAGATCAGCTTGTCATCTCCTAGGGGGGGATAGCCTCATGCAAATAAGCAAGTGTTCAATTGTGACGTCATTAAAATGCGTCACCAGTAATTGTGACGTCATCAAAATAGAATGATGATATTCATACCCCACATGTGTTTTTGGTTACAAACAGACTACTGTCGGTGGAGTTGTGACTGAAATAATAGGATGAGAGAAAAAATAATCATCCCCTACCTTGAGGGTAATCCTTGACAGAGTAATCTCCAACCCTCGGGTTGGACAAACAACATCACCCCTCGGGCTAGAGATTTTTCTGCCACACCCTCAAGGTAGGGGAAGATTCTTTTAATCAACAAACCCCTGATAGGCCTTCTCTTGGCTGGTCTCTTAATGTAACCATGTTATAGATGTACCGGTAAGTACATTATGTAGCTAATTATATACTGTCGGATTGATTGACTGAAATGGCTTTATATTCTTGTTCTAGTCTCTACTAAGTCTTCGACAAAATAATCATGTAAAGAAAGTTATGGAAAATATGATAGATAAAGGAAAAGAACAGAAAAGAAATTGAATGAAGGTTTGTAGAAGTTAATAGTGATGCAACAATAGTATTTGTCAGAATGAGTACTGCGGGGCGGAACAATATACGCCCTGTGAATGCCATATAGTGTTTTATCATATGTTTACTGATAATAACACCCTTTTTGTATATGTGATAAGTCTAAAATTTCCACAAGTTAATATCAGCCCGGGTGATATCACACCCCTTGGAGTGATATCACACCCCCTGTATATAGTGAAGCACGCACGAGACGTATTTCCAGTGCACTGCACACCTTCTGTGGGTGATGCAGGTATATTTCAAGTTTGATTTAGATATCTTTTACCGTTTAGAAGTTATGCCGTGGACAAACTTAGATATAAACAAGAGTACCGCGGGGCGGAACAATATACGCCCTGTGAATGCCATATAGTGTTATATACTTTCTTACATTGAAATAAGATCTTCCTTATTCTAAGAGTGGTTAGCTGACATGCTATAAAAAATGTAGGAGAAAACCTCTGGACAAAAAATCAAATACTGAAACAAGAGGCCCAGAGGGCCTGTATAACTCACCCGGATATCTAAGCAATCATGGCAAAATATTCTCCAAATGCGATCCCAGGGAATATGCCAGACCTCAAGGCCAATCCTTGTAGCATATCTGTATTTGATTTTTTACGCCCAGCAATTTTATGTATGGTTATGGGGTGGGGATCTCAACCGTTTCAAAGTTATGACCCAGGGTTTATGTCTGAAAGCTTTGGGCAGACCCTGGGGTCAATTCTAATATCATGGCTGCATTTGTCTCTTTATGCCCAACAATTGTATATATAGTTTTGGGGTGGGGATCTTAACCGTTACAAATGTTATGACCCAGGGGTTAAGTCTCCAAGGGTGGGGCCAGACCCTTGAGCCATCCTGGAAGCAAATGTGCAGTCCTCTCGTTATACTCAGCAATTGTATATATGGTTATATGGTGGAGATCTCAACCATTTCCAAGTAAAAAAAAAAATTGGCCCCACCCCTTAGCCCGGGGGGTCAGCCCCACCAATTGTACAATTTTAAATCCCTGCCTCCCATGAATGCTTCCGACCAAATATGATCAATATCCATGGTATAGTTTTACGGAAGAAGTCGTTTATAGCAATATAGCCAAAAAGCCCCCTTTTAGCCCAGCCCTCAGCCCCCTGGGGGGTCAGCCCCACCATTTGTACAATTATGAAACCCCACCACCTAGGGATGCTTCCAGTCAAATATGGTTAATATCCATCTCTTAGTTCCAGAGAAGATGTCGCTTAAAGCAATATAGCCAAATTGCCCCCTTATTGCCCCGCCCCTCAGCCCCCTGGGGGGTCAGCCCCATCATTCGTACAATTTTGAATCCCCACCACCTAGGGATGCTTCCAGTCAAATTTAGTTAAATTCCAATAAGTGGTTAAGAAGAAGAAGTCGTTTAAAGAAATTTTTGGCGGACGGACGGACGGACGGACGCCACGGTATGGCATAAGCTCACCTTGGTCCTTTGGTCCCAGTGAGCTAATAAACAAAGGGCAATAACCTTTGCAAAAATTGTCGAATCAAAATTCTTTTAAGGGAGACACAACTTCATATCCTGATTATAATGTATATCAAGTTTCAAAGATAAAAATGTAGGAGGAGATTGCCGGACAAACAAAAGTTTACGCCGGCCGTACCATAATATTTCCGTCAAATCTGATGGGCGTATAAAAATGACACCACAACAAGGAAGGGCGTTTGTTTTTGAATAATGAATGTACAAGCATCATATCTATATATGATCAATATGTTATAATTTGACTATCATTTATATATCAAATTGATCCTTGACTTGATGTAGGAAGCTTGGGCCAATCAGTGTCTTATAGGATAACCATTGTATTAAACCCTATTACTTATGATGCTTCGGTCAGATAGACTTACCTGTATACACGTTTGGTCCTTTAATATTAGACGTAACAGCAGTGTGATCCCGAGGAGGACAGGTAGACTCCCCAAACCCAATTCTTTTGTGGGCACGGTCAAACACGACATAGAAACCCTCCATCACCACAGCGCCTAGCACAGTACCTATGGTGTTGGTGGTGAGAGACTTGACTCATTAAAGGAAAACTTATATCCTTTAATACATTTAAACATCTTTATTTGTGTAGGAATTGCCTTTTCCCCCATATTTCAAACAATAAAGAAAGAAATTAGAATAGCTTCCCTCATAACTGATTCATCTTAAACCATTGATATCATAGATATTTCTGAGAGTTGATATCAATGTTGACAACGTTTCCTTCAAACCCAGATATGTCATTAGCATGCCAAACCCTCTGACCAATGTTCTAAATATATATTGACTGAGAATATAAGAATCCAGTCATATCTGATCCAGTTCTTGTGCAGAAACCGTCCACCAATCAGAGAGAAGAATGTTAATTATAAACTGATTTTGTTCTGTTCAAACTTATACTGTATATTATGTACGGATTGAAATGATAATTCGTAAACATCCTTTTTTTATAATTGGTACAACAATGTCACAATACTATAGCCCAAACTTTGTTTGTGTTCATAGTACACCTGTATACATTGTTAAAAGTAAATGCCTACTAATATTGACCTATTTCAAGAGATTTAAACCCCATTCATTCCTAATCATTACAGTTACCTGATGTAGACGATGCAACTGCAAATTTGAAACAGTCAACCCCAGCTGTGTCATCATTGTCTTCACCCACTGGTCGAATGTATTGCTGGAAAAAAAATCTCTTTATCTGTGTTAATTATTCCCACAAAAACTCATCCACTTCCATTTCAGTTGTCAGAATACCGTCTTTGTCAACCATGAAGTTCAAGTATCACTGGTACTATTAAAAGAATCTGTTCTATATAAAACACAGCATACCATGTACTTGATAGAACAGTGATTGATTTCAAATTAGACAAGTAAGCCTGCAGTGCAGGGGTAGTCCCCCCCCCCCCCCCCCCCCACCAAAAAAAAAATAAAATCTGTGTTTAATCTGTTTTACAACAATGCTACCCATTATGCACATAGGAAATACAGACATTGTACAATCATCCATTTACAAGTTACACTAAAGACCAGTGGCGTGTATCCTAGGGCTACCCCTAAACCAAGTTTGAACTTTGTATGACAGTAAGTTTTACGTTATCATTCAGAGAAGCAAAATTCTAATTTTAGCAATATGACCTTGACTTCTGATTGCCCCTTAAATCAGTAAGCTTATTCTTCAGTTATCATCTTAAACTGTGGCAAACTGCGTCCAGATCAATAGAACTCTTCACATCCACTAGCCTAGCAGCCTGTGTCCAGATCAATAGATCACATCCACTAGCCTAGCAGCATGTGTCCAGATCAATAGAGCTGTCCACATCCACTAGCCTAGCAGCCTGTGTCCAGATCAATAGAGCTCTTAACATCCACTAGCCTAGCAGACTGTGTGTCCAGATCAATAGAGCTCTCCACATCCACTAGCCTACCAGCCTGTGTCCAGATCAACAGATCACATCCACTAGCCTAGCAGACTGTGTGTCCAGATCAATAGACCTATCCACATCCACTAGCCTAGCAACCAGTCTGTGTCCAGATCAAAAGATCACATCCACTAGCCTAGAAGCCTGTGTCCAGATCAATAGATCTCTTCACATCCTCTAGCCTAGCAGCCTGTGTCCAGGTCAATAGATCACATCCACTATCCTAGCAGCATGTGTCCAGATCAATAGAGCTTTCCACATCCACTAGCCTAGCAGCCTTTGTCCAGATCAATAGATCACCTCCACTAGCCTAGCAGCATGTGACCAGATCAATAGATCACATTCACTAGCCTAGCAGCATGTGCCCAGATCAATAGAGCTGTCCACATCCACTAGCCTAGCAGCCTGTGTCCAGATCAATAGATCACACCCACTAGCCTAGCAGTCTGTGTCCAGATCAATAGATCACATCCACTAGCCTAGCAAGCAGTCTGCGTCCAGATCAATAGATCACATCCACTAGCATAGCAAGCAGTCTGTGTCCAGATCAATAGATCCCATCCACTAGCCTAGCAGCCTGTGTCCAGATCAATAGATCACATCCACTAGCCTAGCAGCCTAAGTAATAGATTAAGAACCCTATGAGACATAAAGTATTTGTTTATGTATAATACCTGAAAATTTGATTTTGTGTTCAATTAATATATAGCAGCTGTTGTATTTGATGTTAGAGACTTACCTGTGGAGAAACAACGAGATCAAAAGAGGAGTTTTTGGTTCGGGGAAATGAAATTGTTATGGTTGGAAAGTCGTTGTATGGAATTTTACCCTCTTCCCAACAAATATGGTCGACGCCTTCCCAGAAGTTTTCTCTCGGCAGTGTCCCGGACATCTGACAGAAGACAATGAAAAGTCTGTACAACCAACTAGGATACTCTTATTGAGAACACTTTACAGGACAAAGCAGTTTACAATTAGAACAATGTGTTAATATTATAGCTTTCTAACTTATACAACCAGAACATAATTAATTGATTTCAGATGCAATTTTTCTTCTTCAAAATTTGGTTGTTTGAAATGCCGAATTTTCAATTTTAAAACTCATTACATAAAGATCATACATTAAAAGGTTAGACATGTTATGGTTAAATAGACAAACACAATGTAGTACCTATATAACTGACAAGGATATTTCCCATGACTATTGACCATTATAATGAATTAAAGCTATATCAAAGTTTCCAGTGGCCTAATTAACCTACTGAAGTCGGGAGTAAAGCAGGGCTGTAACATGTCAGGATTCTTGTTCCTACTAGTTATCGACTGGATAATGAGAGCAACAACTAATAGCAACAACACAGCTGGCATCCGATGGAACCCAAGAACTAAACTAGAAGAACTAAACTATGTGGATGACATAGCACTACTATCCAGCAACAGAGAACAGATTCAGCAGAAGACCAGCTTGCTAAACAACTACTCAAAAACAAAGGGCTTGAATGTCAACACCGCCAAGACAAAACTTGCCAACAACACCCGGCCAGTCAGAATACATGGGACACGTATTGAAGATGTTAACACGTTTGTATATCTTGGAGCAACCATTAATACAACAGGCGGTGCAGATGAAGATATAAGAAGGCTAGGACTAGCAAGATAAGCCTTTCATTAGCTTACAAAAATCTTGGCAAGCAATCAAATCAACAGGAAGACCAAGTAAAATATTTACCATTCAAATGTATTATCTGTGCTTTTATATGGAGCAGAAACATGGAAAATGACCAAAGGCAACGAGAAAATTCTAGACACCTTCCTACATAAATGTCTCAGACAGGTACTAAGAATAGTCTGGCCAGAAAAAGTTACTGACAGAATCAGTGGCATCATAAAAACAAGAAGATGGCGATGGATAGGGCATGTGTTGAGAATGGAGCCCAACTGCCATGCACGTGTAGCACTTGGTTGGACACCAGAAGGGAAAAGGAAACAAGGAAGACCAAAAGAAACCTGGAGTAGGACAGTAGAGAAAGAAATGAAACACCTAGGCTTCTCATCATGGTCAGACGCTGAACAGAAGGCAGAAGGTAGGGTGTTGTGGAGAGGACTTGTTTATGGGCCTATTCTCCAATTGGAGAGAAGGAACTACGTCAAGTAAGTCACTTAACCTACTTCAAAATGATCTCGTCATTCTCAGTAAGATTTTCAATTAAACATTATTTATTTAACAACACTCATGAAACCAGTTCAAAACCACTCTCATTGGCCAGGAATGAGGATGGAAAAAGCTTGGGGTCCTAATTTTGGAGGAAATCAGAGTATCTAGAGAAAACCCATGTAGCTATATATAATTATAGGCAAGTGAGAAATGTTATAGGAGTTGAGTATAGCCCTGTACTAGTTCAGGATGGTATGATCTTACCATTGTTTTATTAATACAAATATTGGTTACACAATCTCTATTATTATCAAATATAACAATCAGCATGAACAAGACTCACCTGTAAATGTTGTTTAACTTTTGTGACCAGTGTTTTGAACACTTTGATGGGGAGGCGTAGATTAGTTGTTCCACTGTCTACGATTGTCTTACCAAAATTATACTGTAAACAAACATACACAGTTATGTTTTAATTAGGGCCTAGACTGATTAATAGTCTCACTGTCAATGACCGTCCTACCAATATTATACTGTAAACAAACATACACAGTTATGTTTTAATTAGGGCCTAGACTGATTAATAGTCTCACTGTCAATGACCGTCCTACCAATATTATACTGTAAACAAACATACACAGTTATGTTTTAATTAGGGCCTAGACTGATTAATAGTCTCACTGTCAATGACCGTCCTACCAATATTATACTGTAAACAAACATACACAGTTATGTTTTAATTAGGGCCTAGACTGATTAATAGTCTCACTGTCAATGACCGTCCTACCAATATTATACTGTAAACAAACATACACAGTTATGTTTTAATTAGGGCCTAGACTGATTAATAGTCTCACTGTCAATGACCGTCCTACCAATATTATACTGTAAACAAACATACACAGTTATGTTTTAATTAGGGCCTAGACTGATTAATAGTCTCACTGTCAATGACCGTCCTACCAATATTATACTGTAAACAAACATACACAGTTATGTTTTAATTAGGGCCTAGACTGATTAATAGTCTCACTGTCAATGACCGTCCTACCAATATTATACTGTAAACAAACATACACAGTTATGTTTTAATTAGGGCCTAGACTGATTAATAGTCTCACTGTCAATGACCGTCCTACCAATATTATACTGTAAACAAACATACACAGTTATGTTTTAATTAGGGCCTAGACTGATTAATAGTCTCACTGTCAATGACCGTCCTACCAATATTATACTGTAAACAAACATACACAGTTATGTTTTAATTAGGGCCTAGACTGATTAATAGTCTCACTGTCAATGACCGTCCTACCAATATTATACTGTAAACAAACATACACAGTTATGTTTTAATTAGGGCCTAGACTGATTAATAGTCTCACTGTCAATGACCGTCCTACCAATATTATACTGTAAACAAACATACACAGTTATGTTTTAATTAGGGCCTAGACTGATTAATAGTCTCACTGTCAATGACCGTCCTACCAATATTATACTGTAAACAAACATACACAGTTATGTTTTAATTAGGGCCTAGACTGATTAATAGTCTCACTGTCAATGACCGTCCTACCAATATTATACTGTAAACAAACATACACAGTTATGTTTTAATTAGGGCCTAGACTGATTAATAGTCTCACTGTCAATGACCGTCCTACCAATATTATACTGTAAACAAACATACACAGTTATGTTTTAATTAGGGCCTAGACTGATTAATAGTCTCACTGTCAATGACCGTCCTACCAATATTATACTGTAAACAAACATACACAGTTATGTTTTAATTAGGGCCTAGACTGATTAATAGTCTCACTGTCAATGACCGTCCTACCAATATTATACTGTAAACAAACATACACAGTTATGTTTTAATTAGGGCCTAGACTGATTAATAGTCTCACTGTCAATGACCGTCCTACCAATATTATACTGTAAACAAACATACACAGTTATGTTTTAATTAGGGCCTAGACTGATTAATAGTCTCACTGTCAATGACCGTCCTACCAATATTATACTGTAAACAAACATACACAGTTATGTTTTAATTAGGGCCTAGACTGATTAATAGTCTCACTGTCAATGACCGTCCTACCAATATTATACTGTAAACAAACATACACAGTTATGTTTTAATTAGGGCCTAGACTGATTAATAGTCTCACTGTCAATGACCGTCCTACCAATATTATACTGTAAACAAACATACACAGTTATGTTTTAATTAGGGCCTAGACTGATTAATAGTCTCACTGTCAATGACCGTCCTACCAATATTATACTGTAAACAAACATACACAGTTATGTTTTAATTAGGGCCTAGACTGATTAATAGTCTCACTGTCAATGACCGTCCTACCAATATTATACTGTAAACAAACATACACAGTTATGTTTTAATTAGGGCCTAGACTGATTAATAGTCTCACTGTCAATGACCGTCCTACCAATATTATACTGTAAACAAACATACACAGTTATGTTTTAATTAGGGCCTAGACTGATTAATAGTCTCACTGTCAATGACCGTCCTACCAATATTATACTGTAAACAAACATACACAGTTATGTTTTAATTAGGGCCTAGACTGATTAATAGTCTCACTGTCAATGACCGTCCTACCAATATTATACTGTAAACAAACATACACAGTTATGTTTTAATTAGGGCCTAGACTGATTAATAGTCTCACTGTCAATGACCGTCCTACCAATATTATACTGTAAACAAACATACACAGTTATGTTTTAATTAGGGCCTAGACTGATTAATAGTCTCACTGTCAATGACCGTCCTACCAATATTATACTGTAAACAAACATACACAGTTATGTTTTAATTAGGGCCTAGACTGATTAATAGTCTCACTGTCAATGACCGTCCTACCAATATTATACTGTAAACAAACATACACAGTTATGTTTTAATTAGGGCCTAGACTGATTAATAGTCTCACTGTCAATGACCGTCCTACCAATATTATACTGTAAACAAACATACACAGTTATGTTTTAATTAGGGCCTAGACTGATTAATAGTCTCACTGTCAATGACCGTCCTACCAATATTATACTGTAAACAAACATACACAGTTATGTTTTAATTAGGGCCTAGACTGATTAATAGTCTCACTGTCAATGACCGTCCTACCAATATTATACTGTAAACAAACATACACAGTTATGTTTTAATTAGGGCCTAGACTGATTAATAGTCTCACTGTCAATGACCGTCCTACCAATATTATACTGTAAACAAACATACACAGTTATGTTTTAATTAGGGCCTAGACTGATTAATAGTCTCACTGTCAATGACCGTCCTACCAATATTATACTGTAAACAAACATACACAGTTATGTTTTAATTAGGGCCTAGACTGATTAATAGTCTCACTGTCAATGACCGTCCTACCAATATTATACTGTAAACAAACATACACAGTTATGTTTTAATTAGGGCCTAGACTGATTAATAGTCTCACTGTCAATGACCGTCCTACCAAACCTATACTGTAAATATACATACAGTTAGACCAGGCGTGCATGTCGTCTGACTAATCGTTCTGGTAACTAGCTAGATTTAATGCCTGTACTTCACCCTGTGCATATCTACAAAGTTTGGAGCCAATTTACACAGTTCTTGAAACAGTGGTTAAGATATGCTGTGGAAACCAGTATTTGTGTACTTGCAGTCACCTCAGTGGGGTGCACCCTATAATCGCACAGTTTATCATCGTGCACAATGTTCGCACATCGTGCACACTATTTGTACATCATGTGCCCACCGCACATCTTTAACATTGTGCGATCCCACAACTTTATACCCAAAGTTAGATGCCATACATTATGTAATGTACAGTATACAGAATCTGTTATGTTTTTTCCTGTTTTTTCCAGCATACATTACCTGTTTGTTCAATGTTACGGGTTATTTAATTAAATGAATCACAAATTTAATTTGATTATTTAGGAAAGGTTAATTAACTTGTTGAACTGAATCATTATTGCTATTCTGGTGCCTTGAGCAGCTTAGTAAGATTCTTTAACCAAAATTAAATGGCACAGGAAAAATATTGCAATGGACATCAAAATACTGTCATCCTTAATTGCAATATATAGTTGTCTGCCAACTCTGTATTGTAACAGCACTACTAGGAATAGTGTATATTGTTAAAGGGTGGGAATATCAGCTGTTCAATGTGATGACTAAGGTCATAATCCTAAGGAGCAAGAGCAGACCCTTGAGCCAATCCTGGTAGCATGAATGTATTCAGCTTTTCATGCATGTAAATTGTTTATGTGGTTACAGGAAGTGAAACTCAATATTTTCTATATAAAGACCCAGGAACAATGTCACCAGGCACAAAGGCAAACCCTGATAGCATGAGTGGTTTTTTTTCTTCATTTTTCAAGCCAAGCAATTCAATTTTTGGGTAGGGATCCCAATTGTTTCCATATTATGACCCCAGGACTAAGTTACCAGCAGCAGAGCTGGACCAAGGAGACAATCCTTATAGTATGATTGTGTTTGTCTCTTCATGCTAAGTAATTGTTTGTGGTTATGAGAAGCATGAATCTAAACCAATTCCTCTTTTGACCCAGAGACCTCAAAAACTAAAAGCAGTATGATGTAATGCTAGGAATATATTACCACAATTATCTACAGTGATTTATCAGAGCCCTACCTCCTTACAGTCCAAGTGGAGACTAGTGCCGGCTACCATTACATCCAAAATGATGACTTCATAATACCACTCCTTGTGTATAGGTGTGTACAGCATCTGACCAGTGAACAGAGAGGCATCCACTCCACCTAAAACCTACAAAATACACAAATATTACACATGGCTCATATGTGCTGTTCACCACATTATACACATTATCAGTGTCGACCCTGGATTATTGTTGTAGTCTGACCTCAGTGTCGACCCTGGATTATTGTTGTAGTCTGACCTCAGTGTCGACCCTGGATCATTGTTGTAGTCTGACCTCAGTGTCGACCCTGGATCATTGTTGTAGTCTGACCTCAGTGTCGACCCTGGATCATTGTTGTAGTCTGACCTCAGTGTCGACCCTGGATCATTGTTGTAGTCTGACCTCAGTGTCGACCCTGGATCATTGTTGTAGTCTGACCTCAGTGTCGACCCTGGATCATTGTTGTAGTCTGACCTCAGTGTCGACCCTGGATCATTGTTGTAGTCTGACCTCAGTGTCGACCCTGGATCATTGTTGTAGTCTGACCTCAGTGTCGACCCTGGATCATTGTTGTAGTCTGACCTCAGTGTCGACCCTGGATCATTGTTGTAGTCTGACCTCAGTGTCGACCCTGGATCATTGTTGTAGTCTGACCTCAGTGTCGACCCTGGATCATTGTTGTAGTCTGACCTCAGTGTCGACCCTGGATCATTGGTGTAGTGTGACCTTCAAGCTATTATCACAATGACTGTGAAAGTGGTGTCCCATAAAAATTGTATCATTGTTGACAACTGACTTTTGCATCATTGTTGTTCCCATGCTAATGAACTATATAATAACTTTAGATAATGGTTAAAGTGTGTTAAGTTGTGATGTTTTTAACTTTTAAAGAGTCAGATTTAAAAAAAGTGTACAACATGAATTTTCTCATAAACTAACACCTGTGTTGTATACAGATCTATACACACGTCTAGCCTTACCAGACTTCCACCCATCTCTGTACCTCCAGTGTTGTATACAGATCTATACACACGTCGGCGCCTGTCAAAAGTTTTTCTCCGTGTAAAACCTCTAACATTGTTTAAGTAACGTCTAACCTTACCAGACTTCCTCCCATCTCTGTACCTCCTGTGTTGTATACAGATCTGTACACACATCTAACCTTACAAGACTTCCACCCATCTCCGTTTCTCCTGTGCTGTATACAGATCTATACACACGTCGGCGCCTGTCAAAAGTTTTTCTCCGTGTAAAACCTCTAACATTGTTTAAGTAACGTCTAACCTTACCAGACTTCCACCCATCTCTGTTCCTCCTGTGTTGTATACAGATCTATACCCACATCTAACCTTACAAGACTTCCACCCGTCTCTGTTTCTCCTGTGCTGTATACAGATCTATACACACGTCCGCGCCTGTCAAAAGTTTTTCGCCGTGTAAAGCCTCTAACATTGTTGAAGTAACGTCTATCCTTACCAGACTTCCACACCTCTCTGTACCTCCTGTGTTGTATACAGATCTAAACACACGTCTAACCTTACCAGACTTCCACCCATCTCTGTACCTCCTGTGTTGTATACAGATCTATACACACATCTAACCTTACAAGACTTCCACCCATCTCTGTTTCTCCTGTGCTGTATACAGATCTATACACACGTCGGCGCCTGTCAAAAGTTTTTCGCCGTGTAAAACCTCTAACATTGTTGAAGTAACGTCTAACCTTACCAGACTTCCACCCATCTCTGTACCTCCTGTGTTGTATACAGATCTATACACACATCTAACCTTACCAGACTTCCACCCATCTCTGTTTCTCCTGTATTGTATACAGATCTATACACACATCTAACCTTATAAGACTTCCACCCATCTCTGTACCTCCTGTGTTGTATACAGATCTACACACATGGCTAACCTTCCCAGACTTCCTCCCATCTCTGTACCTCCAGTGTTGTATACAGATCTAAACACACGCCTAATCTTACCAATCTTCCACCCATCTCTGTACCTCCTGTGTTGTATGCAGATCTAAACACACGTCTAACCTTACCAGACTTCCACCCATCTCTGTACCTCCAGTGTTGTATACAGATCTAAACACACGTCTAATCTTACCAATCTTCCACCCATCTCTGTACCTCCTGTGTTGTATACAGATCTAAACACACGTCTAACCTTACCAGACTTCCACCCATCTCTGTACCTCCAGTGTTGTATACAGATCTATACACACGTCTAACCTTCCCAGACTTCCACCCATCTCTGTACCTCCTGTGCTGTATACAGATCTATACACACGTCTAACCTTCCCAGACTTCCACCCATCTCTGTACCTCCTGTGTTGTATAGATCTATACACACGTCTAACCTTACCAGACTTCCACCCATCTCTGTTTCTCCTGTGTTGTATACAGATCTATACACACGTCTAACCTTACCAGCCTTCCACCCATCTCTGTTTCTCCTGTGTTGTATACAGATCTAAACACACGTCTAACCTTACCAGACTTCCACCCACCTCTGTACCTCCTGTGTGTATATAGATCTATACACACGTCTAACCTTACCAGACTTCCCCCCATCTCTGTACCTCCTGTGTGTATATAGATCTATACACACGTCTAACCTTACCAGCCTTCCACCCATCTCTGTTTCTCCTGTGTTGTATACAGATCTATACACACGTCTAACCTTACCAGACTTCCACCCATCTCTGTACCTCCTGTGTGTATATAGATCTATACACACGTCTAACCTTACCAGACTTCCACCCATCTCTGTACCTCCTGTGTTGTATACAGATCTATACACACGTCTAGCCTTACCAGACTTCCACCCATCTCTGTTTCTCCTGTGTTGTATCGCCAGTAAAGAGAAACACACACATACGGAGCCCGGTCCGGGATCTCCGGAACCATAATAACTAACATACATTACACTGGCGCTACCCTCTTTTTCTGTGTAAATGACTTATGGCTAAGTTATTATGAATGATAAAGAAACATTAACCGCAATGTAGCAAACAACTATAAATGAACGTTACTAAATATGGTGACACAACAGTTCTATATGACTCACAGATCATTTGATCAAAATATAAACTAACACTAGTAACAGTCAACTGGAATTAAACTTTGTAAGAGTAAATGTTTGTTTTTTAAACATTGTCATGATTCACAATTAAGTGTTAAACACTAGCCACACAATTAATAGCATAGGTTATTTGACCAATATGAATGTGGGTAAAATGAATTACTGAATCCAACGTACACTGAGTAGTGAAAGTTCTGCTAATACAGCTCGTAGTCTTTGAGTTTTTGGGGCAACTGACGATCACGTTTAGGACGTGTGTCACACGAGGGTGAAGTTGGGGAAACAGTGAAAGTGTTCGAATCAGTTTCTGTACTAGTTGGAAGGTCTGAAGAACTACCTGGGGGCTCAGAAATTACCGACGGTATTTCAGGCAGGGAAGGGAGTATAATGTCAGCGGGTATTGGTACATTGTTGGAGAAATCATGTTGTCCAACTAGAGGGCCAACGTGCACATTGTCATCATCGTCTGAGTGTATGTCGCTTTGCACAAACCGGGGAGGGCCTTGCGAATCCGATATTTGCGAAGGACCCTCTACTTTAAAGCAATCTGAAGTCTTCACACGGTACGATGACTTACGTAATTGACAGCCAACAAACTTTTGGATATTACACCATTGGCCATCAACACTTACCACTAAGTATCTGTCGCGGGCACACGATTTGTTCCTATCGGAGAACAAATATACAAGATCACCTCGGTTTAGCCGAGGAGGGATTGGTTGTCGACGCGATGGGGTTTTGCTTATCTCACTGTAAGGATGATTCTTGTTCCTGTCGTCGTGTTGTTGCATAAGGAGTGATTGATCCTCTACGGGTATCTGTCGGTTGTAGAATTGGTCTCGCTGGAAAAGGCATTTCACGAGCAGACAGACCGCGTTTCCTAATGCGAGTGTTGAGTCGTGCTGTAGCGAGGGAGAGAACGATGGGTGTGACGGCACGGCACAATGGATCCTGACGAAGTATTTCTGTTTCTAACTCCTGGATGGCCTTTTCAGCCACAGGGTTTTTATTAACGTTTTTAGCGCGTCCCAGTTCCACAGATAACCTATACTTGGCTAGAGTTTCATCGTTTACAAGGGATTTGAATCCTGGTGCTGGGTCCGTGCGAATAACAGCCATAGGGCCATCGAGTGGATGAAGGTTGATGCACAATTGCAGTAGGCCATCGCGAAGGGATTGATGTTTTTCGTCCTCAATCAGCATGGTGCTGGTATAGGATGACACGCACTCCCTGACGACCAGAATAAGTTGGCGCTCGCGCTTTATGACATCCGCAGCAAACTGGGTACCCACAGAGGCTGGCGGATCCCCACAGCTTTGTTCCTGAAGAAACTTAGGTGCGTTGGACAGGGCGGCACACTGGTGGCAACAATCGGTGGTGCGTTTGATTGCGGACTCTAGGTCAAGTGCGTAAAAATGGCGTTGGACGGCGCACCTGAGCTGGTGGTTTGAAGGATGGTCAAGTTTTAGATGTAAGGCTGTCAACAGACCATCGAGGACCTGTCTGGGAATAATAATGCGGTCGGTTGAACTGGCAAACAGTGCGTCACGTTTGACGACAAGGAGGCCGTCCCTAGAAAGAGAAGCAACGTTTAGGTAACGTTTGACATCCTTGACCGTAGTTTGTTTCTTGGAGGGCCGGGTGCCCTGACACAGATGCGCGTGTGTTCTACGAAGGTCTGTACAATCGGATTGTATAGACAACCATGCGGACCGACTGGTGTACGGCAACTTGGACGATCCTGCTAGGATGTCATCGACGGACACTTGACCAACAACGCTAGCGACAAACGTGTTGACGAATGAGCAAATTTGACATGTAGGCTCATTGCACACGGGGGCGTTGCGGCTCGCGAAGTCGGATGGAAGTATAGCAGAGCCTGACACGTGTCGTAGCGACACTTGGAAGCGGCTCGCTGTGGACAGGAATGTTGAGGTTCGAGGGCTAGCAGAAAATTCTCCTCTGCATAATTTCTCAAAAGCTTGCACACATGGTTTGCTGTCAGTTAACACACAAGCCTTTGTAGTTGACTGGATGATGTATGGACTGAAATGTTTTATGGCGGACGCGATGGACAGAGCCTCGATTTCACACGGAATCCAATTGGTCTGGTTCTTACGCAGTTTGGCACTGAAATAGCCTGCAAGACAGACTTTGTTGTTACGAGTGACGTACAGTGTTGCCCCTAGTCCAGGGTCTCTGACTGCACCGTCTGTCACTATCCATAGTTGGTCAGTAGACGTGGGTAGAGTGATGGTGCGGTTAGAAGATAACGCCTTCTGGGCATTTGTAAAGTCATGGAGGAGTTCGTCGGTCCATTGGATGGTCTCCTTTGATTCGCGTCCACCTGCGACAACACTATCAAGCGGAGAGAGGAGTGATGAACAGCCTTGCATGACTCTCGCAAGTACTTTGTATGCTCCGATGAACGCACGTAAACCGTAAACGGTGTTTGGTGGGGGGCAAGAGGAAAGTGTCGCGACACGGTGGGGACTTGCGCTGATTGTACCTAGTCGCCATATCCACCCCAATATGGTAGTTTCCTTTGGGGAGATAACTGTCTTTGGAGCGGAGAGGTTCAAGCTACATTTCTGTAAGGCCTGAAGGACGGATTTAAAGTTTTGTAGTAGTTCTTCAAAAGTCTGCCCACCGCAGTACAAGTCGTCGGCAAGTTTCGCTATGCATCCAGCCTCTACCAGGTCTCCGAGGACACGGCAAGTTAATTCCTCTAGCGCAGTTTCTGAGCCTGGCATACCCATCGCGGTACGGGCATACACCCGGGTGCCTTTGAAGGGGGTTACAACACCGCAGTACTTCATGGATTCCTTAGCAAGGGGAATCTGATAAAAAGCCTTTGTGAGGTCAGTGGCAATCAGATACTTCCACTGGGCGACTTGACGGAGGGTTGAGTCTACATCGGGCATCAGCGATGGCTGGGGCTTACTGTATCGCCCTACGTCAGCAAATGCTGTGACTAGACGAAAACCTCCGTTAGGCTTTTTGACAAGGAATGATGGGTTTACGTATTCGACAGATATGCCAATGTCCTCTGGTCGACGAAACACACCTACAGACTCAAGTTCATCAAATTTGGCCTGGAGCTCTGAAAGTTGGTTCCTTGAATATTGAGGTAAGCGGCCTTTGCGCTGAGGGGGTTGAACTGGACCCATGTTAACCTTGGCTTTGAAGGGACCTACAGCGCCATTGTAACCTGTGAATTCAGGGTTGAACACTTCGTCAAACTCTGATAGAAGACTCTGGAACTCGGACTTGATATTGGTCGGCATGAGTCCATCGGGGTCAAGGTTGACCCTATCACTGTAGTGAGACAGGTTGGTAGTTTTGGCCCTATGGGGTTCAGTGTGCGTGGTAGGGGTAACTGTGATATCCTCTGGGTAAGTCGTGGCTCTTACTTTGCAGAAATGTTCATTTCGTTTCAAGGTCTGTGGTTCTCCAGTGAGATTTGGTATCCTGATTTTCCCTGCAACACTAGTGAGGACTGAGGGGGCAGCAAGAGGCGATGAGTCGTGTGGTTCTATGCTAATCTCACCATCCGATGTGGCGAGGTCAGCTGGCAGGGCTACTTCAATATAATCTCCTGGCCACAGTGTGGTGAGGGCAGGGGCACGTAGAACATGGGCCCTCCTCACTGCATGTCTGTCCATAGTAGTCTCTGTGGATCCGTACTCGTACAGAGTATGATCCCCGAGTGATACTTGGCGTTTTGCTGGACGTATGAATATATCGTTGCGTTCCATGAAAGGGATACCGGCAAGAACAACAGTGTCTAGATTTTCCACAACAAGTCCCTCAAAATATAAGTCGTGGTTGTCACGGGACACCACCATACGTGTTTCGCCTAAGACGTTCAAAGGCGATGACCCATCGGCTTGGTGAGCAGATTGATTGCTGTTGGCAATTTTGACACCCAATCTTACCGCACATGATGCACGAATCATGTTTCCAGTGGCCCCACTGTCGATGGTGAGGCGTAAAGGCATATGACCTTGAAACACGTCCAAGTACGGGGATTGGCGGATACGTACGCGGTTGATAAGACTTTCTGTCTGTAATACATCATCTCCTTCTGGATCAGCCATATTGTCAGCATATCTCTCCAGTTCCCCTGACACTTGTCGAGCTCTTGCAAAGAATTTTTTTTCTTGTGTGGGAAGGAAGCTACATTTACTAAGGAAGTGATTGTTAGGCCTTCCTGCTTCCTTGCACAACGGACAAGACTTCTGGGGTCTGGACCGCTGATCTCGCTGATCTCGCGACACGATATGAGCATGTGGTGTATATGGCAATGTACCTCGCGACAGACCAGACACAGCGGCTCTCATTGAGCGGGCATCCTCGGACGATTGGACCTCCTCCAACAGCGAATCGAGTGCTTGTGATACCTCTGGCTAAATGGACGCGAGTGTATGTGACCGCAGTTCTGTACCATACCGTTGCTTGATGAGTTTGGGTAGGTCTGAATTTATTAATTGTAGCCACCGCAATACGACATAATTTTCTAAAGAGGGCGATAGTTCTTCATCTTCTGTGATTTGGTCACCATGATGTATAATGCCAGAGTCTTGTGTGAGGAGGTTGTCTTCCACGAAGGCTACTAATCGTTGGTAGAGGTCCTCCGGACGTTCGCCCGCCTCCAACTTAATGGCCGCAAAATCGATCAGATGTGCTCCAGTTGACTGGAACCCATAATGTTGACGTATGGTCTGCCAGATTTGGCTAAGTGAGGTGCAGGTTTTAACGATCGTGTTGCGCGCTATCACCGGACAGAAATTGGCGATCTGCCCTAGCATTAACTCCAATAGCGCCAGTTTCTGCGCTTGAGTTTTACGGCGAGCCTCCGGGACAGGGGCATCGTCAGCTATCATGCCCCTAAATTCGTCATTTCTTGTTTTTTTTAACCACGAGAATCGCTCACCCAAGAACTCATTAAAGTTATTGTCTAGTGACAATGTGTACACTAAATTCTGTCGCCAATTGTCAAATGAGTTTACAGTTTCAATTTTCGTCAAACACCATTGTTTTGGCGCACGTGGTGTTGCCATCTTCGAAAGTTGTCAAGTGTTTACAACGAAAGTTTATATAAATACTGATTAAAGACGATAACTCACGGCTCCGTACCGTTTTATACGGCGTGATGTGGTCTTGTTGACATTGTATAGGTCTTATGACGGCGAAAGTTCGTAGAGCACGCTGCCACCACGCCAGTAAAGAGAAACACACACAACCACGGTGAGAGATCGAACGTTTAATGACGGAAAACGGAAGAGCGGCACATACGTGTAACACACAAAACGGAGCCCGGTCCGGGATCTCCGGAACCATAATAACTAACATACATTACACTGGCGTATACAGATTTATACACATGTCTAACCTTACCAGACTTCCACCCATCTCTGTTTCTCCTGTTCTGTTTATAGGTCTGTAAACTGTCCCACACAGCTGCATAGAGAACACATTTTCTACATCTGCTTGTGTTACAAGTGAGTCGAAGAATGGCACCACGTAGCTACCAGGCTGTGGACAGAAAATAACATTAAAGTGAAATAAACATTAACAGTTTATAGATAGCCTAGTATATACAATATAGTTAATAGAGAGTAGAACCCCAATATCTATACTAAATACTTCCAGAATCTACATCCTTGATAATTAACGTGGATTCATCATTTAGGCCATTAATGAATGCAATATTCTACCAATTTTCACAGTTTTGTATTCTTAAATATCACACTCACCAAATATTTTGTTAAGACAGTACACTATGTACCTGTGTTATACTATTTACCTGTGTTATACTATTTGTGTTATACTATTTACCTGTGTTAGTCTATGTACCTGTGTTATACTATGTACCTGTGTTATACTATTTACCTGTGTTATACTATGTACCTGTGTTATACTTTTTACCTGTGTTATACTATGTACCTGTGTTATACTTTTTACCTGTGTTATACTATTTACCTGTGTTAGTCTATGTACCTGTGTTATACTATGTACCTGTGTTATACTATTTACCTGTGTTATATTTTTTACCTGTGTTATACTATGTACCTGTGTTATACTATTTACCTGTGTTATACTATTTACCTGTGCAATAGCAGCGTAGCCCATGCCCAATATGCCCTGCCAGTTGGAGCCATTTATGAAAAAGTCACTGGATTGAAGGATGAAGGCGATGTGAGCGTTGACAGAAGAGTTTGACATTGAGGCTAGAGTGACAAGGTCCGTAGCTAGTACACCTCGCCAGTTACCCTGTGTGTAAGGTACGTACACATCAGTACCTACATCCTTGTATGTACTCGACCTATATATACATCAAACAGAAATATTTTTATTCGGACTTTTGTTATCCACAAAATAAACGAAATTTAATGTCCCACGAAAATTTATAATTTTTCAGTATGCACAGTAAAATTTAATGTAATACAACTCATTCCTTCCGTGTTTACCACCAACACATTTCCAGGTCCCGTTTTCTTTAGCATAACTACATAATACTATAACTTATCATTACAGCTCACAGGCTAGGGGATATACTTCATTGTACATGTACAACTATAGCTTACAGGGAATACAACTTGTTATTACTGAGCACTACAGCTCACCTCTGATGTATTGTCACCTTACTGTGGCTGCCCGTTTTGATGATCCGGAGGCTATGCTAAATATCCTTCCTTTCATACCCGATAGTTTCCTTATATACCTGGACATACTAAAGACCTTAAAACTGGTAGCCGTTATTGCCTGCTAAACGTTCAACATACTAAAGACCTTACAAATGGTAGCTGTTATTGCTTGCTAAATGTTCAGCATACTAAAGACCTTACCAATGGTAGCTGTTATTGCTTGCTAAACGTTCAGCATACTAAAGACCTTACCAATGGTAGCTGTTATTGCTTGCTAAACGTTGAGCATACTAAAGACCTTGACAATGGTAGCTGATATTGCTGGATTAACGTTCAGCATAATAAAAACCTTGACAATGGTAGCTGTTATTGCTTGCTAAAGGTTCAGCATACTAAAGACCTTGACAATGGTAGCTGTTATTGCTGGATTAACGTTCAGCATAATAAAAACCTTGACAATGGTAGCTGTTATTGCTTGCTAAATGTTCAGCATACTAAAGACCTTACAAATGGTAGCTGTTATTGCCTGCTAAACGTTCAGCATACTAAAGACCTTGACAATGGTAGCTGTTATTGCTGGATTAACATTCAGCATAATAAAGACCTTGACAATGGTAGCTGTTATTGCTTGCTAAACGTTCAGCATGCTAAAGACCTTACCAATGGTAGCTGCTATTGCCTGCTAAACGTTCAGCATACTAAAGGCCTTGACAATGGTAGCTGTTATTGCTGGATTAACGTTCAGCATACTAAAGACCTTGACAATGGTAGCTGTTATTGCTTGATTAACGTTCAGCATACTAAAGACCTTGACAATGGTAGCTGTGAGTGCTGGATTAACATTCAGCATAATAAAGACCTTGACAATGGTAGCTGTTATTGCTTGATTAACGTTCAGCATACTAAAGACCTTGACAATGGTAGCTGTTATTGCCTGCTAAACGTTCAGCATACTAAAGACCTTGACAATGGTAGCTGTTATTGCTTGCTAAACGTTTAGCATACTAAAGACCTTACCAATGGTAGCTGCTATTGCCTGCTAAACGTTCAGCATACTAAAGCCCTTGACAATGGTAGCTGTTATTGCTGGATTAACGTTCAGCATACTAAATACCTTGACAATGGTAGCTGTTATTGCCTGCTAAACGTTCAGCATACTAAAGGCCTTGACAATGGTAGCTGTTATTGCTGGATTAACGTTCAGCATACTAAAGACCTTGACAATGGTAGCTGTTATTGCTGGCTAAACGTTCAGCATACTAAAGACCTTACCAAAGGTAGCTGCTATTGCCTGCTAAACGTTCAGCATACTAAAGCCCTTGACAATGGTAGCTGTTATTGCCTGCTAAACGTTCAGCATACTAAAGACCTTACCAATGGTAGCTGCTATTGCCTGCTAAATGTTCAGCATACTAAAGACCTTAAAACTGGTAGCTGTTATTGCCTGCTAAACGTTCAGCATACTAAAGACCTTAAAACTGGTAGCTGTTATTGCCTGCTAACCGTTCAGCATACTAAAGACCTTACCAATGGTAGCTGTTATTGCCTGCTAAATGTTCAGCATACTAAAGACCTTAAAAATGGTAGCTGTTATTGCCTGCTAAACGTTCAGCATGCTAAAGACCTTACCAATGGTAGCTGCTATTGCCTGCTAAATGTTCAGCATACTAAAGACCTTAACACTGGTAGCTGTTATTGCCTGCTAAACGTTCAGCATACTAAAGACCTTGACAATGGTAGCTGTTATTGCCTGCTAAACGTTCAGCAGTAAGGTCAACAGCTACATTTTAGTAGGATATTTCAGTGAGGTAGGACACTTAAGATTGGTATCAGATCTGCACTATTGCAAGGAGGCAAATAGGCTTACTGCACCATACCACATCCATCAAACGACAAGCATCACACACATGGAGGTGTTAGCTGTTAAACGGGCACTATAAACCCTATATACATAAAACCACAAGAAACACTTACAAGCTCACAAGGAAAACAGTTTTTAAATTTTAAGAATAAAAGCTAGACCTCTAAATGACTTAATTATTATGTTTATTGTGAAAGTCTTTATCACTCTTTAAATTGATATATAAGCATTGAACAGCAAACTACACATATTTAGTTAGCAATTACCAGTAATAAACATGTAATACCACCACAACTTACTCATTTATGTGGAACCAGGCAGTGATGTCAGGGTTTGGACTGGCGGCCACAGCAAAGTTACTACTGCCAGTGTCAATCAACACATTCAGCTGACAAAAACAAACATCAGGAATCGTTCTTCATAAATTAAAGATGTATACTGTATAGCAAAAGTGGCACTAATGTCAGATATCTGGATTAGATCTGAGATAACAGTGTGTAGAAACAAGATAGACAAGTCTCCTCTGACTGACGAGACAGTAGTCATCTGCATTGATCAACAAGTTGCCACTGTATTTAATCGGTTACATTTTACTTCTTGAAAAAAAATAACCCTCGTTACATTAATGGTAACATTAACCTTTATTTAACCATGTACAATTTCTTGTTTATATTCACTTTGACTATAATTGATAGGTTTATATTTATATATTTCAGTTATACTTGGAACTAGCTGAGATCATAATTAAAACAAGAGCCCCAGAGGGCCTGTATCGCTCACCTGAAGATGTTTAAAATAATTGGTATGAAGTAAAGATATAGCACTCCTTGTTAGGTGCTGTATTTCAGAAAGATCCATCCAGTACTTGAGATATAACAGAGCCCCACCCCTATGCCCCATAGGTAGGTCACACCCATTGTTTATACAAAATTGAGTCCCCTTGGCCGAAGGATGCTCCAGACTAAATATGGATAAAATCCCTTTATCCTGATGGTCGAAGAAGGATTTTAAAGGTTTTACCTCTATTTCTCCTATTGGCCCCCCCCCATTCTGACCCCTGAGAGACCACACCCACTGCTTATACAAAATTGAGTCCCCTTGGTCCAAGGATGCTCAAGACTAAATTAGGATAAAATCCCTTAATCCCTATGGAAGAAGAAGGATTGTAAAGGTTTTACCTCTATTTCCCCTATTGGGCACGGCCTCTCTGCCTCCAGGGAGGTTAGACACACCTTTTATACAAAATTGGTTCCCCTTCACCCAAGGATGCTTCATACCAAATTTGGACAAAATCCTGTAATTTGTACAGAAGAATGTATTAGAAGAATTTGCTGTTTCCCTATTGGGTCCCGCCCTTCTGCCCCCAGGGGGGCCACACTCACTGTTTATACAAAATTGAGTCCCCTTGGCCAAAGGAGCTCAAGACTAAATTAGGATAAAATCCCTTAATCCCTATAGTAGAAAAGGATTTTAAACGTTTTACCTCTATTTCCCCTATTGGGCCCTGCCTCTCTGCCTCCAGGGGGGTTAGACACACCTTTTATACAAAATTGGTTCCCCTTCGCCCGTGGATGCTTCATACCAAATTTGGACAAAATTCTTTTATTCCTACAGAAGAAGAAGGATTTTAAAGAATTTGCTATTTTCCCCCTAGTGGGCCCTGCCCCTTAGCCCCAAGGGGGCCCAGACCCAACATTTATAAAAAAAAATGTTCCCTTTCCCTCAAGGATGCTTCTGACCAAATTTGGTCAAAATCTGCTAAATCGTTCATGACTAGTAGTGTTTTGAAGTAAAAGTTGACGGACGGCGGATGCTGCGGTATGGCATAAGCTCACCATGGTCCTTTGGACCAGGTGAGCTAATTATGTACTCATGCAGGTTTTCCAGTGGAACTTGCCCACATTTTAAGAACTTTTAGAACTGGAAATGGGATTTATATTCATCATCAACTGTTAAAAGATGTTCAGGAATTACCTGAAAAAAATCCTACAAAAACACTCAGGTTTAACTATAAACAAAACTGATCAATGAAAGGCTTATACATGTACATTTATATGTTGATATATAATCTCTTGATTTTAACAAGTATTATATATATAAAATAATCATCCAAAATTATGCTGATAATGTAATAGTATGTACCTGTTGTGGGGGACTGATACTGTAATAGGATGTACCTGTTGTGGGGGACTGATACTGTAATAGGATGTACCTGTTGTGGGGACTGATACTGTAATAGTATGTACCTGTTGTGGAGGACTGATACTGTAATAGTATGTACCTGTTGTGGGGGCCTGATAATGTAATAGTATGTACCTGTTGTGGGGGACTGGTAATGTAATAGTATGTACCTGTTGTGGGGGACTGATACTGTAATAGTATATGTACCTGTTGTGGGGGACTGATAATGTAATAGTATGTACCGGTTGTGGGGGACTGATACTGTAATAGTATATGTACCTGTTGTGGGTGACTGATAATGTAATAGTATGTACCGGTTGTGGGGGACTGATACTTTAATAGTATATGTACCTGTTGTGGGGGACTGATACTGTAATAGTATGTACCTGTTGTGGGGACTGATACTGTAATAGTATGTACCTGTTGTGGTGGACTGCCCATGAGAACCTCCATGTAATAGCCCTGTCCTGGCTTCCCTTCAAGGTTACCCTTTTGGTCGTATGGGACGCTACGCCTGGTCCGCTGGTAATGTACACGAGATGAGACCCCCTTTAAGGGTAAATTTATCACTGTTCCAGACAGGACCTCATTCAGAAGGAGGCTTACAGCAAGGGAGATTATTTGAACTATTTTAGAAATCCTAAATTTAATAAACATTGTTGTTTTCTTTTTTCATTCTATTCCATGCTGTAAGAATGTCTGACTGTCTTGTTTGTTGACATGTTGCTCATATAACCTGAAAAACAGTACAAAAATTGTTATGAATATGACTTACATATAAATAGATAATGTAACATGGGTCAAAGAAACTATAAAACTGTTCTGTGAATGTTCATTGTCAACATTTTTATCTGCAGAGTGCAAATGGCAAGAATTGGAAATAATGTAATAATACTGAGAAATGTTTGCTCATTAATGCATTTTAGCAGATTGTGATTGATGTCAAAGATCCTTTAAAGCAAACATTCATTGTCAAAATCAAAGATGGCCACCTGCCGGCCATTTTGTTTTATCGGGACCGTCTCAAAATAAAACGTGCACAACAAGAGACCAAAGGTAACCTACATATCAAATCTAAGAAAGATCCCTTATGTACTTCCCGAGAAATAGTGATAACAAGAGGCCCATGGGCCTTAACGGTCACCTGATATATTTATACAGAGAGTTGATTTTGTTTTTAACATGAACAGAAATATTATTCAAAGTGACAAAAAACAATAAAACCACCTTACTCAATATCTAGCATACAGATTTCAGACTAAAAAGGATTTGAAACTAGCACCTCTGATTCTTAACAAGGAAAATGAAGAAATTTTAGCACACTGACTCCTTTGAGCCCCACCCTACAGCCCTTGGGGGTAGGGCTGGCTCAAAATTTTCAAAGTATCAAACTGTCAATTCAAGGTTATAATTCCAATCAAGTTATTA